GGACTTTGGGACTTCAGGACTTCAGGACTTTAGTACTGTCAGACTCCTGGCCCCAACTCCTGCCGACTTTAGGCAATTTCTGACGTGATGAGCATCGAAAGCGTATTCAAATCCAGTGACAAACCGGCCCAGGATCTCCAGAGCAGTCGTGCACACAAAGCCGGACTGGCAGCCGTACCCCAACCCAGCTCCATAGCCTTGTAAAGCCTCTGGAGCATGGACAATTTAACAAACCTATTTATTTATGAAAGCCAAAATGCATTTCGATTGCCGGACAATGCCAAGATGTGACCGAAATTCAATTGAGTTCCCCAAAAAGCTAAGCCAATCCCGGACCAGTCACGTGTACTCCCCGGACCTGAGTCAACAACGACAATAAACTTAAATGGAACAAATTACAAACCTAAATGAGGGAGAAGAAGAATTATCCCAACGATGCTACCATCTTTTTTAGTACTTGGACATTGCTTTATTATAGAAAAAGTAATAGTTTGCAAGCATAGTTTACATGTTTGTGCTAAGTAAATACTTAGTTGGGGTTTGTAAACATTTGGGAAATATAAAAAGACTTTAACCAGTTATTTACAAGTTAATTAGGTACAATAAATCATTCCCAAACAAAATTTTCTTCAATAAATAAGCAAACCATAACCGATAGATCATATGGAAATATACTAAAAACATGGAAGCATAAAAACATTGAATAAATTCATAAGCTATACTATTTCTTTGCAAAGAGTTTTAAAAATAAACAAAAAATTAAAGAAAATATATCTTTGTATTTTTAATAAAATTCAATATTCCTCCATAGTTTTTCCGGATCTTTCTAGTCTCACCACAGGTTCCCCCTTTAATTTCCCGAGTTCCGCCTTGGGCCTAGTAATTTTTCAATTAATTTTCAGTCAAACCCCCAAAAGCAGTTGTGATTTTCTGCTTTGATTCCCGAACTGTGTCAGCCACGCGTCGCCCCCGAGGCTTCCACGCCCAAGCCGAAATAAAGGCAAAGGAAAAGGAAAAGCGGTGCCAGGCAGGTTAATAACCGACATGCCACGAAAAATTAATGGCAAACCATTTAGCCAGGTTCTTTTTCTCTTTTTTTTTTGCACGGCCACGCGACCGGCAAAGGGGAAGCCCCCAAAAGAAGGCTTGTGTTGCAAAATTACTATATGCAGCAGACAGGAGTCAGGAGTGCGGGGAATGGGAAACTTTGACTTAATTTGCGGCCGAGGAAACAGGTGAAAAAGTATCCAAAGGCAAGGGGAGAGAAGAAAGAGACTGGCAATTTAATTAACGGAGCCAGTTAAACATTCAAACACTGCCACTAAGCCCCCAACTCCCTTCGAGTTTCGCCTGTTTCCAACTGTCTCTGTAATTTTTAGCCCATCCCCCCGCCAAAGGTCCTTGGCCCCGGGACCAGCACAGAATACGACCCACGGGGAGGACCTCTGGCACGAGGACAGAACCGAGGGAGGAATAAAAGTGCTCCGCTCAAGTGGTGCACGCAAAATAACTTAAAAGCCGCAAAGTGGCTGGCAAAAACTATTTAAGTTTATGCGATAACAACAATAAAAGGGCCCAGGACCCTAGCCCACTTCACAGCCCGTATAGAGTTGTCTGTTCAGCTGTTTTTTCAGGCGAAAAATATTATTTTGTGAACTTTAAACTCATGAAATATGAAAAGTAAAGTTTTGGGTAAAAAATTTATAGAATTTTGGTTTTATTTTTTAAGTTAAATTTAAGTGAGTAACTGAATAAGAATGGGAAATGATAAACTATTAAGATTAAGAAGCTATAAAGAGGCTAAAAAACGTTGTAGCACGCCTTAAAAAACATTTATATTATTTTTTAATAATTTTCTAAACATACTAACAACCTAATATTAACTTTCCCTCAAAATTCATTAGCTGTCACTAGGAGCTCCCTTTTGCGAATATCCTTGCCAGCACTAATCCTGCTTTCGCTCCCTTATTTCCTGGGTGAATGTGCTGCATACTTGGAGGCGCGGGCAACAGCATTCTCCGGGCGCGTGTGTGCGTGAGTAAGTGCGTGCCAGAGAGTGCTGGAGTGTGTGTGTGTGTGCAGTTATGTAATTATGGTAATTAAAAACGCGCAGCAAACGCCGTTTGTCTTGTCATCGTATTTCATAGTTAAGCACCTTTTGGGCCTTTTCGTATTTGCACACAGAAAGCCACAAAGAGAGGCTCGTTTACATGAATAATAATATTAATACTAGCACGCCGTCGCCAGACATCCTTGTTTCCTCGAGACAAAATTATGATTATTTTGTTATAAATTGTGCGGTATATATGAATGTATACTCCCTCTCGCCCACAAATGTTATCAATTAACAATGCTAATGAGGCCCGGCGAATGGTCCGGGAAATTGTGCGAAAAAGCGAACAGAAGGTGTTGAATGGGAAATATCCGCTTAAATCCGGCCATTCGGGATTACGATTGTGTTCACTCTTTAACGGGAATCAAAATTATTCACAAAGAAAAAGCACATAGTGGATTATTTATTTATTTCTCGGTGAATATATTAAATGCTCGACTGGTTTTAAATAAGTAACAATGAATAAAACTGAAGCGTTCAATATGCTGCACATAATTTATTGGGGTTTATTGGGTACCATAATACAGATTAACCACACCATTTAAACTCGTAAAAGAGTTTATTAAAAAATAAACCGAAGGCTTTAAAACCGCCTGGTTAAATTTGAAGCTTAAATTTTCATAGCTTTAGTGTCCATAATAATTTAATTTGCAATGATTATGAGAGTTTAATAATTAACCACACAATAAACTCATCAAATAATTATGAATAAAGTTTCTGTAAGCCAAAATATATGTAAATAAATGGCGAATATTAATCAATATATAAATATATTTCCTATTAATATTAAAATGTTTCCTCCGCACTCCAATTTGTTTTGTGACTCTTATTTTTAGCATTTTGTTTTCAACAAAACATTGGTGATATAATAACTATACACAAAATGCCACTGCTAACAACAATAACTTGCATAATAAATTGGCAAAAGTAAAAAAGAAAATATCAAAGAGCAAAGGGAGCTGCAAAAAACATTGAATAATTCCATAAGCTTGCGGACTTCCTCCTTTTGACAGTCTTTTTTATGGATTATATAAAATATAAAAAAACAACCAAATTAAAGTTAAATCATAAACAAATAAATAGTACAGTGCTAACAATAAATAATCATAGAACAACATCGTATTAAATATATTTATTGTTTCAATCACTATTTGCAATTTAAAATACAAATTCATTTAAAATATTTGCACTTTGCTCTATCATTTTCTTGCCCATCAAATTTGTTCTCATTGTTTGTAGTTGGGGATTAACCTTTGGCCCTAACCGAAAGCCGATGTTCGATACACGATACCTGTGTGTTACTCCCACCCAATCGTTATGGCTTTCGGCCAGACGCATAAACCACAATTTGTGGCTAATGCTGGCGCCACAAAACATCGATGCCGACACCTCTCTTGAATCGAAAAAGCTTTCCCTTTTTTTTGTAGAGAGGTTTGTTTGCACAAACAGTAGCAGCGGATAGATGGACTCCCCCAGCATAAGTATTCACCTTTCACACGATGGGCATGCGAATGTGCTCATTAACGGCCGGACGCTTCTTTTGGGCCAAAAGAATCGGGCCGAAAGCGAAAACAAGGCCGAAACGAAAGCCGAGTATCGAGTATGCAAAGAGCGGAGGGGAAAAAACAAGGGGTTGCTCGAGATGCAATTAATCAGTCACGACGAATCAATCGAGTTTCCAGCGAAATCGCGGCGACAACTGTTTTGATTATGCCATGGCTGTGTTGGTTGTGATGCTTGGCCCAAACAATTCACAAACTTGTAATTATTCGTGCTTCACTTGGTTTTGTGTTTGTTTGTTTACCGTTTTGGGCCATAATTTCACATTTAAAGCGATTAAATTTCGCTTTTTGGCCTTGTTACCGCTGCTTATTTATTTATTTAACTTGGCTAGAGGCACTCCACGCTGTAATTGATTTTCATCTTCTTCGCTTGGCCACGGTGCGTATGATTGATTTGTCAGCAATCAGCAGAACCCCTTAACAGACGAGTATTTAGCCAGAAATTTCTATTATTATTTGTTAACCTCAACAACTGCAAACAAAAGACAGCAATCCGGCAAAGTGTGCAAAACTCTTTGCCAAAACTCAAGGCGGCAGCGCAAATATTTGCTAATTAAGCATTTCTACTTGTCTAAAATTTATTTCAGTCGGTTTTATGTGATTTTTTCCATTTACTTGAGGCTATAATAATAAATTTGACATCACACGGTCGGCGCATAAACTTCTTCGCCTGTAAGCAGCTGCTGGAAATTAACTTTGAGCTCATCATAAATATAAACACAGGTGATTGAGCCGAAAGCCTGTTCGGCGCTTGGCTGATAACATTGACCCTATCGACACTCCGACCTAGTGATCAATTAATAGCACAAATAATGAATGATCTCCGCCCATGATTCGTTAACCCATTAGCGTTTGAAGGGCGATAACTCGACAATAAAAAATTTCGAAGAATTTTATTTCCTTAACTTATTTATTATAAAAACTTCGTAGGGTTAAGAATATTTTTTAATCCTATATTTCCAACTTTTCTTTCGTCTTTATTTGTATGATCAATTAAAGAACAATTTATGAATAAGTTTAAGATAAAATAAAAGCTTAAGTTACAAATAAAAATACACCCAAAATAAATAATGTTACTTATCTTTTAAGACATAAAATATGGTTTAAAAATTATCCCTTGAAGACTTGAAAAAAAATGTTGTTGCTATTATATTAATGGGTTAATTTTAACCACAATTATGTGTCCATGTTTGCCTACCGTTTGCAATTTGTTGACAGCTCCGTAGCTGCGTAGCCTCCGCTGCTGCTGTTGCTGCTGCTTTTTCTTCTTCCAGCTCGGGCCTTCTTTTTTTTTATCTCTTAGTTGGTTTTTTATTGAGCTTCAGTCTGGTAAGACCTGAGCTTCTGCGGTAAATGGAGTTAACTTGGCCTTGTCGCACGCCAGTCTGCTTCTGACATTCGCGCGTCGCGCTCGATCGCCGCCTGAGATCGCCCCATCCATCGCCTGTGATATTACGTTTCTATTGCTGCCGAAAAAGGGCGAAAAACTTAAACCGATTAGGTTCACAAAATAAACTTATATATATCAGTTCGAACTTGAGCCTGGGAATTAGCAAACGCAATGAAAACGGTAATTCAAAGACAAGAGCAAGTCATTAACTGAAATATATATAGAAAAATCCGAAATCGTGTTTTGACTGTAACTAATTCACTTTGGTCACAACTCGCAATTAATTTGCTGAGTTTTGTAGATCAATTAGATATGCAAATCGGTGCGATAAAACGGAGAACCCAAAACAAAGTTATAAATCATTTTGAAACAAGATAAAAAAAAAAAGAAGTTGTGTGTTTTAATACTAATTGAAGTGTCATAATTCTCTCATTTATCTTGGCTTTTATTGGCCTCCTAAAATTTATAAATCAAACCAAAGAAAACTAAGGTGCAAGAGATAGGGAGATGAATCTCCGGCATAAGTATTTTATGTTTATTTTAATATTTAAAGATTAAAAAATGATTTATTTTTGTAATTTGTGATGCTGGCAAGGTATCTTCTTGCTAGTTATTTCTTTTTGTGATAATTTAAAGATTGTTTTAATATAATAAAGTAATTCTTACATCAAAACTCAATACAACAATATGGCTCTCATGCTGCTAAATAAGTTTTTATCTTGAAAATATCCTAAGATACAAATATAATCTAAATATATTAAATAAACAAGCTTAAAAGTTATGTTATTTTTTAATGAACAAGGATATTCTGTGTTATTTTCGATATAAATTAAATTTTTATCATATCTCCTTGACCAGATAAATCACATACTCAGTCCGCTCCTGCTCCTGCTTATGACGTACCTCCCCAGCATAGCCTGGGCAGCACCTGCTATACACCTCCGAGACTACCCAGCACCGGACTCTGTACTGGAGGAGGCCTATCCTACATCGCCCAGCCAAGTGCTGCCCATACAGCCCGTGCTAATTTACCCCCAGCCCCGGGAGAATCTCTATCAGGCCAGGAATCTGGAAGGGCGGAACAACGACCAGGACATTATCTTTGTGAAGCTGCTGCAGGACAAATCCAGTGCCTATCGGCCCAAGCAGCAGCGCCTCGTCCTCGAGGAGACCAAGACCTCGCGCCGGAAGGAGCAGGGTCTCAAGGATATCTTCTATGTGAAGGCCCTGACCAACGGGAGGTTTAGCCACGAGCGCCTGAAGGTCTACCGGGTGCCCGAATTCTACGCCATCAGTGTGTTTAGCAACGGGGAGAAGTGATCATCCGGATGCCGAAGGAGCAGGAGTAATATAAGTTATTTTTAAGACGCTATAAATAAATACTCACCTCAGGAGAGAGCCGCCGGTTTTTTATATCTTATCGGCGCCACTTTGCGTTCGCGGATTTACACGCAATTTCAATTACTCATAAGCACAGGCTCAGAGTGTCTGGGGCTCCAGGTCGTGTTCAGGTTCAAGTTGTGGCTGCCTGCCGGGCTGACTGATGGGTGTCAGCATCGGCTTGGCCATCAGGCATCAGCCAGAACATTGGTATCAACACCGCCAGCAACTGCTTTTCCCGCCACGTCAAGTGGCAATTAATAACTGTCAGTTCCGTCGATTGGCGGCGGCTCTGCTGTGGCTCCATCGACATCGCCATCGCCAGCTCCACCACCTTCCAAGCCCCACACTTCCGACAACAAAGAACTAATCCCTTTTGTCACTGGGCGTCACCGCGGGGCCGAGGCATTACGTCAAAATCAAAGAAAGCAACAAAAGCCAAACAAAAAACATAAATGAAAATGGAAAGACTTTCATTTGGAAGTCGAATTTGGAATACACTTAAGGAGGAGAAGAGATTGAAAATATTTTTATAAATGGTTTCTTAATTATGCAATTATCTCTTTTTAGATTTTTAAATTTCTTATATCCTTGCAGGGTTTTATGAAGGAGAATTGGAGAATTAAATTTCCAAATTGAATTTTATGCTTTTTTTGGCTTAGTTATGATGTTTTTAAGCTTTGATTTGTCAAAAAAATTATCATAAAAAATGTAGATAAATATCAATTTAAAGAATTCAAATATTTCCGGTCTTCTTAAAGGGTATTATGATTTTTTTGAATGAAGGAGTCATTTCCGACCCTATAAATCATATATATTCTTGATCAGCATCAAGAGGCGAATTTTTCTAGCTATATCCGAAAGAATTTGTTTTTTTTTAATTTTTGAGATTTTGATAAGGGGTTACATCATTAAAATTGTCCAAAATTGACAAAAATTTTGATTTCTTAAAATTTAAAGCTAAGTATGCAGATTTTATTACCTTTTAAAAACTAGCATAAAAAAGCTTTCCGAGTTGAAATTAATGCATTTTTGGCTTAGTTATGATAGATTCCAGATTCGGCCTCTGATCCCATGGTAACCTCCGAGGGTATACAAAATTTGACTTGCCAAAGATAGCTTCCTTTCTTGTTGAAAATACTTTTAGACTCCTTTTAAATTCATTTACAATTTTTATAAACAGGATTTTCACCTCAAAATACACAAGTTTCTTTCGAAAGATGTATCTTTATCAAAAGCTCCCATAGTTTAACATAATATTCATTCAACCGACATTCCACTGGCCAACCAACCCCAGCAGCCAACCCAGTCACCCAATCCATGTACCCGCGCCAAAAAAAGAAGCATGCGGGCTGTGAACAAAATAAGCTATTTCCAAATAAGCGAATAAATCACATTCCACTCCCGCGTCCGGAGGGAGCTCTTGAACCCGTGCCGACTTTCGCCCCGAAGTGCTCACGGCACGTTCACGTCTTTAAAATGCACGGAGGGCATTCGCTCCAGTTAGGCTCCCCCAAATAATAGAAAACGGCAGACAAAGGGCCCAATTGAGTTGTCACAATATTATGGTAATTTATTAATTAACTGCTAACTTTCGGCTTAAAACGATTGAATGGTCCAAACATGCCATGATTAATTGACCATTAGGCGCGGCGCAATGTTCATGGACATGAGCTCCTGGAAGAGCAGCTTGGCCGCGTAGGGGAGTCGCACCTGCGAGATCTGCGTCTTGTTCTTGCAGCCCTTGCACTCGAACGTGTTGTTGCGCAGATTGGCAATGGCAATCAGGCCACAGAAATTGCAGATGTGGACGCGATACGGATCGGAGACCTCGAACAGACGCTCCCTGAGGAACTGGGCGGCACCGTGGGAGATCTGGCAATCACGCTCCATCTCACCGAAACGCAGGCCACCGTCACGAGCACGACCCTCCATGGGCTGGCGCACGAGGATTTGGACGGGACCGCGGGCCCGAGAGTGGATCTTGTCGTCCACCATGTGCTTTAGACGCTGATAGTAGGTGGGTCCCAAAAACACCTAAAAAGAAGGCAAAAAATGGAAGATTAAAATACTTATCTCCCTCTTCCTCCGCTTGAAACCCACCTGAGCATTGATCTTCCGGCCCGTGTGTCCATTGTACATGACCTCGTTGCCACGCAGATGGTAGCCATACTCCTGCAGGAACGTGGAGATCTTTTGCACGTTGACGGCATCGTTGAAGGGCGTGGCATCGCCAATCTCGCCCTTGTTGGAGCCCAGTTTGCCCTGGAGGCACTCGATCAAGTGACCGATTGTCATACGCGAGGGGATGGCATGGGGATTGATGATAATATCCGGCGCCAGGCCCTCGCAGGTGAAGGCCATATCCTCCTGCCGGTACTGAATACCGCAAGTTCCCTTCTGCCCGTGACGCGAGGCGAATTTGTCACCAATTTGCGGGATGCGCACCGATCTCACGCGAATCTTGCAGAACTTGTAGCCCTCGCTGTTCAGGGTCAACATCACCTGGTCCACAATGCCAGTCTCAGAGTTTCGCAGGAACGTGGAAGCGTCTCGCTTGGCAAAACGCTTCGTGTTGCTGTCCAGCTCATCGTCATTTTCGGGCAAAGTTATAGTCTTGCCGATGACCACATCATCGCCAGAGACACGAATTCCCGGGGCAATAATACCATCATCGTCCAGCTTATCGTAATGGGCATTCCGCATGCCCTGGCAGGTGCCGCGATGCGGTTTCTCAAAGTTCTCCTCCTGGTCACCCACACGCTTGTTCTCCGAATCCTTGTACGAGCGATAGAACACCGAGCGGAAGAATCCTCGCTCCACCGCCGAAGCGTTCAGGATGACAGAATCCTCCTGGTTGTAGCCCGTGTAGCAGAGAATGGCCACGATCGAGTTGATGCCAGCTGGTAGCTCTCGGAAGCGCAAGTACTCCATGGAACGGGTGGTGACCAGGGGCTTCATGGGATAGTATAGGACGTGGGCGAGTGTGTCCATGCGCACATGGAAGTTGGTGATGTACACGCCCATAGCTTGTTTACCCATAGCGCTTTGATAGGTGTTACGCGGACTCTGGTTGTGATCGGGGAAGGGTATAATAGAGGCGCAAACCCCAAGGATCATGGCCGGATGAATCTCGCAGTGCGTGTAGGTGGTACAGTAAGCGTAGTCCTTGTCCTGCTTCAGATCATACGGCGACATGGCTATCATGACCGTCTCCTCCTCGAGGGTGTCGATATACTCCACCACGCCGGAGGCCACCAGCACCTGCCAACTGTAGTTGTTGTAGTCGCGCTCCTTTAGCATCTCCACATGGGTCTTCTTCAGCAGCAGCGATCCATTCTCCACGATGAGCAGGGGCCGGCAAATGCGACCCGCATCTGTGTAGATGCGAATCTCGCGATCGCGAATATCACGGATCATGGACACCTCCGACACAATGATGTCCATCTGGCGACGCAACTTGCGCAGCGTAGCCATCAGCTGCTCGGGATCACGATGAATGCCCACCCAGCAGCCGTTCACAAAGATTTTCGTGGCATCAGCAATGGCCGAGGGGGCAATCTCCTCCAGATTCTCCATGGACCACTCCTCCAAGAACTCGAGAATGGGCGAGGGTTGCGAACCCACCGATATGTAGGCCATGAGGGCCAGATTCTTTACCAGACCGACAGCAGCGCCCTCGGGCGTCTCGGCGGGACACAGCATGCCCCAGAGGGTGTTGTGCAGCTGACGGGGCTTGGCCAACTTGCCGTCCCTTCCGATGGGCGAGTTGACGCGCCGCAAATGGGAGAGAGTGGAGGCAAAGGTCAGGCGATTCAACACCTGGGAGACACCGGCTCTCGCCTGATGGGCCTTCTTCTGATCGCCCCAGTTGCCCGTGGCCAGGGAGTACCTCAGACCGTCCGTTATGATGTTGGTCTTGATGGCCAGCTCCAGATTAAAGTCCTTGCCGCGATCGATGAACTTCTGTGTGTACATACGCACCTCCTTCATCAGATTCTTGAATAATCCGCGGAAGAGGAATGCCAGCAGCGGACCGGCCAGATCCAGTCGCTTGTTACCATAGTGATCACGGTCATCGAGCTCCCTCCGGCCCAGAGAGGCCAGCAACAGGCGATGCACCATATAGCCGAGGAAGTACGCCTTCTTGGTCTCGCAGAAATCCGAGACGCCGACATGGGGCAGCATTTCCTTCTGCAGAATTTCCTTGGCGTACTTGATACGCTTGTCTTTTGTTACTCCTGGCCGGGCACCACGCGCTCCTATGAAATTCAGAGCCACATTCTGCTCCTGCACGACAAAGGCCTCGTCTAGAGAAGGCTTCACCATCTCCATCATCTCGGGATCATCGAAATCGTAGATGATGTGCTCCAGAATATCACGATCGGCCACGAAGCCCAAGGCTCGGAACACAATCATGATTGGGATCTCCTGTTTGATATACGGCAGAATGGCGATGATCCTTTGGCCAATGGCCGACTTCTTGATGTTTTGTGATCCCCTGGCCATCATATTCACCCACAGCGTGGAGGTGGGTCGCGAACTGTGCTCCAGACACGAACGGATCTCCGTCTTGAAGGCATACTTGCCGTCCTTCATGCTGAACACATACACCGTGTTGGTGGCCATCTTCTCCTGGGCGATGAGCACCTTTTCCGAGCCGTTGATGATGAAGTAGCCGCCGGGATCCAGCGGGCACTCGTTCAACTCCGTCAAATCACGATCCGTGAGCTGGGACAGCAGGCAATAGGTGGAGCGCAGCATGATGGGGATCTTGCCGATGAAAGTCTTCTGGTGCTGCGTCTCCACCGGATCCAAACCCTCCACATTCTTTGTCTTGGTTATGTCCACGTAGAGCGGGGCGGAATAGGTGAGATTACGCAGACGCGCCTCGTTCGGCATCATGGGACTGGGCGAGCCGTCCTTCTCCCAGTGCGTCGGCTTGGAAAGGTAGATCTGTTCGAATTTCAGGGAGAACCGCGGCGGCGTCTCCACCTCGCCGGAGGTATGCTGCGCCTCGGCCTGCAGCTCAATGGCCGGCGAATCCTCCACAATGCGCTGCACCGACATCTGGATGAACTCGTCGAAGCTGTCCAGCTGCTGGCGCACCAAACCCTTTTCGTCGAAGTACGCATTGATAACGATCCAGCAGGCCTCCTGCCAGAGCTCGTGGGAGATCTCCTCTGCGTTCTCCTCCTCGTACAACTCTGGGGAAGGTAAATTTCGTTAAATATAGGCAAAAAAACACAAATAACAAAGCGCAGCGCTAGCGCTCCCGGCGCCGCCATGTTCCTTTTCTGCTTCACGTTGCCACTTTTTGGTGCCTTTTTATTTTACCTTCCTCGTTGTCGTACATCATCTTGTTGCGTTTCTAAGGTGCTCTCGGGCACTCAATGTAGGTAATTAAACAAAAACTGTAGCTTTTGCAATCAATAAACTAGTTAAAACTCAGGAAATTTCACACACACAGTTTTGGCCGCGTTTAGCGGCGTGCGTTGTTTTTGTACGATAGAGATGGGAAAGCATCGATATCGACGTCATCGTTGTTTTATCGTTAATCGATGTTTGCCAGTCATCGATAATTAAATTTAACGTAACGTAAGTTGTAATATAACGTAAGTTATAATTTTTTGTTTTTTTTTTTTATTTTATAAAAATTTTACAAAAAAAAATTAAGAATAATAATTTTAAAATTTTTATATAAAAGTTAAAACTGAACTGTTATTTTATATTTTAAAAATAATAATTACAAATAAGAAGTATTCTCCAATTTTTACTTCAAAAAATTTTAAATTAAGGTCATTTGTAAAGTTTTATTTTTAAATTACTTTCCAAATAAAATCCAAATACGTTTTCGAATAGAAAAATCAACGGTTTTATTGAATCAATTAAATACAAAAAATACGTCGGCGGAATTAGAGGGGCATGTATTCGCGGAAATCCGCATAGAAAGACTGCCAAAACGAAGCAAACTTAGCCTAAAATGGATACCCAGTGGAATCGTTTCCATTGCCGTTGCCATTGACCGTGACCGGAGCAAACTGGACAAGCGCCTTGATACGACGCAGCAGCGAGGCATTGAAACCCTTGCACTTGACGGTGTAATCCTCGCTGGCCGTTATCAGCTGCGTGCAGAAGGTCTCGTTGAAGGTGGAGATGAGCAGCTGCTTCAGCTGCACGATCTCGTCCTGTGAGGCATTCAGCACGGACACATTGTGTCCGCCGCCGTCCAGCAGGTTGCTCTCGTTGATGGCATTCCGGTTCTCGTTTGCATGGACGACGGCGTTGCGCAGGTAAAAGTCCAGATGGATCCACAGCAAATATAGGTTCTGTTCGGCAATGAAGACGGCCTGCATCAGTTCGCTGCGTTTCTCGTTGTGCCGCTGGCTCAGCTCCAAGAAGCTTTGCTTGCCTGTTGGATGAGCAACAAATCAGGAGAAGATCAGATATGATTAAGCAACTAAACTCACCGCTGGGACCGAAACTTATGTTGGGCAGGGAGGCGCGCTGCTGCAGCAGATTGTCGGCTATGGACTTCTGCGAGAGGTAGTAGCCAATGGAGCCCTTCAGCTGGTTGAGAATGGTGTGCATTATGGAGGTCAGCTTCTTGCCGTCCTTTTTGCCACTCCTTAAAACCGAATATCAATGAAAGGGATATTGATAAGAGAGGATCCCCCTCTGGGGGTCATTACTCACAGTGGTGTGACGTCGTTGATGATGGTGGTCAGCAGATATTTGGAAGTCATGCTATCCTTGACGCGGCTGGTGACCGCATTGCGACAGTATAGTGACAGGTTGGCGGCAATGTCCAGAAAGAACTTGACGTGCTGCGTCTTTCCGGCCTCGGCCAGTTCGGCGTGCACCTGCTCCTGCTGCAGCATCCGCCTTATGGTAGCCTCGTTGACGGAGAAGCGACCAAACACAACGATCATCAGCTGCTGCAGACGTCCCAGACGATTGCGCAACTCCATGTCGTTCTCCACATCCAGGGTATCCTCCAGCGCCGTCACCTGGTGGGTGGTTGTGCGGGCAAACAGACTCGTGATGGCGGCCAGCTGCTGCAGGTGACCCAAGTCCATAAAGGGCGTGGCCGTGCGCAACATGGCCTCCACCATGTCAATGTGGGCAAAGAGGAAGTTGAGCACCTGGAGGGCGGCCGAGTTGTTGTGGGATCCCAGCGAGTTGACAATGGCATCGCAGAGGGACAAGGCTGGCAGCAGAATGGAACGGAAACGCTTGTCCAACGGCGGTATGAAGGCCAGCGGCTCGTCGCGCTTCAGTTCACTGGCCTTGAGGTCCGGCTGGAGGTCGTACACTCGCATGTTGGACAACACCCCCAGGGCCCGCTCGCCGAGGAGCAGACGGGCGCCCATGTCCGTGTTGGCCATGCGCGTGAAAAAGGTCATGTGCGACTCGTAGACGTAGAGCGGACGCATGTGGTCCGGCACTGGCTGCAGGATGCCGCACAGCGCCTCATCAGACTTGGCCAGGCTGTCCAGCATGTGCTTGAGGTAGCCGCGCATCGACACGAACTCGCAGAGGGTGCTCACAGCATTTAGTTCGGAGACCATGTCGAGGCAGGACAAGGCCAGCATCCGGCAGACATCGTGTCCGGTCACCGCGTCGTGGCAGATGGTCTCGATAAGCTTCTCGCCAAATTGACTGATCACGGCGGCCGCCATTTCCGTCAGTTGCTGATGGTCATCGCGCCGCAACTCAAGGCCGATGCTCACCCGCGAGGTCTCCAGGCGACTGGCGACTCTACAAAAATTAAGTTGGGATTAAGTTGGAATAAAGCCCCTGCAGAGCCATTAAACTTACGTTTCCTGGAACTCCTGCTCCTCGTCGCTGCGCATTCTCTTCACAATCCGCAAACAGTTGAGCAGGGCTCCGTACAAATTGATGCGCAGCTTCTGCGACTTGACCTCGCTGACCATGATCCACTCCACCAGACGTTTGAGAATGAACCTTAGGTTGTTGCTGTTGGTACCGTTCTCCCCCCTCCCACCCAGGGAACCAACCCCAAGACTCTTTTTGGCCTGGGCCTGGGTGTCGTTTGGATCCGACTGATCATCGGAGCGCTGATTCTCGATCTGATAGCAGCAGTAGCGGAGATTGGCCAGGAGCAGCAGCACCGTTTCGCTGCCCTGAATCGAGATCTCGATGATCGGCTGGATGGGCTGCACCTTGATCAGGATCTTCTCCACAATGTCCACGATATGCTGACGGCGCAAAGCCAGCGGCAGGACGGCATCGGGCATGCTGCTAAAGAACACCTGCACTAGCTGGCTCCAGGCCTCCATGAACGCCAGCGTGGCACTGCGCTGCGTCCGTATCTGGTTCAACCTGATGGCATGCTCCAAGAACACAGCAATCTCCGCTGTGATGGCCTTGCGCTGCCCACTGGCTATGGTGCTCTGGACCAGCCGCAGTTCGTCGTAAAGGATGTCGTGCAGCTGACGGATGTTGATGAGGTTAGCCGGCAAATTGGTTCCAGCTTTACCTCTGCCAGTGGCCACGCAGTCCCGAAGCAGAGACTTTATCTGCTGCGAGTCGAAGAACTCCAGGCGCGGTAGGTCATTGGATTCGATCTCCAGGCAGAGGCAGTCGAGCAGCCGGTTGGCATGCAATCCCACCGCAGTTTCCTGCAGCAGCGGAGGCTTTAGGCTACTGGCTCCTGTTACTGAGAGAGGAGGTGCGCCCGCTCCTGGTCCCATCATCCCTATGGATCCACCTCCACCTGGCAACAGATCCATGGCAAAGAAATTGGATGCCGGCAGATCCATGGGCAGGGCATGGCCCGAGCGCTGAACATCCGAACCCGCGGCACCCATCAGCAGGATGTCACAGAGCAGCTTGTAGCGCGTCGTCTGGCCATGGGTGGCGGCCAGCTTCACCTCAATTGCCACACAGGTGAGCAGATGGCCCATGGCATGCAGGACATGATCCTCGCGATGCTGGCGGAAGGGCAGCGAGTTGAGGTGGCGCAGCAGGAAATCGTTGCAGGTGAGTCGGAAATACCGCAGGATGGTCTCTGAGGTGCGGCGATTGGCGCAGAGGCCACGGAACAGGCGGTAGATCCTCTCCACAATGCTCGCCGTATGCTCGCAGTAATCCTCACTGTGTCGCTGTTGCTGTGGGCAGAGCAACAAGAAGGCTAAGCCTGGAAAGAGACCAGTTTTTGCGGGACAAACTTACCTCCAGGTACTTCTCCAGGAGCAGAACCAGCGAGTTGACACAGGAGCCGTACATCTCGATGCCCAAATGCTGCTTCTCGTTGGCCATAAAGTCGCGCAGGACATCCACGCCGAGCAGGAAATACACAAAGTTGGGCAGCTGCTGGCTGAGATTCATCTCGAAGAGTTGCACAATGGACTCCTTCAGCTGCAGCTCGATGCGTGCCGGCTTGCGCTCCAAGTGAAGCTCCTCCTCCGCTCCCCCATAGATTTCCATTCGTGTGTCTGTCTCGTTGCGTTCCTTGTCCCTGCCTTCCTGGAGGCCAAAGCCCAGGAAAGGTAAATGATCGTTGAGGGCCAGCTGATCCAGCAGATCATCGCTGGGCTGGCTCACCCGCACATCCATTTCCAGGCACTCGATGAAACCCTGCCGGATCTCCAGCTTCTCGGTGCCATTCTGGGCATACATGCTCAGGATTTGGGCGGAGACATTGGGCAGCTGGGTCACCGCCTTCAGGATCTTGACGGCGGCCAAGGTGTGGCGCGGCAGCCAGCTGTTGTAGGTCACAAACTTGACAATGTTGAGGACATGGTCGGGCTTGCGGCTGCGCGGATTCAGATCCAAGAGCATTCGATTCAGTCCCGAAAGCTGAATGGGACAATTGGCCGCCGAATGGGCCTCGAAGAACTCATTCTGCTTGGCCAGGGCCGCCTCGAGCAGCAGGAGGGCATAGAGGGAGCACTCTTCCAGCAGTTCCTTGCCCCTAAACCGGTTGTAGTCGTCCAGGCGCTCGCGGGCCTCCTCCACGATCATCAGGAGCAGACGCAGCACATCCGACTTCACCTGCAGCTGCAGCATAATGTGATAGCCAGAGTACGGATGCTCCTCGCGCATCTCCTCAAAGTCCGAGGGACGCGGCCGGTAGGTGGCCAGCAGGAAGTAGAATAGCTTCAGGCACTGGGCACCCACTTGCCACTTCTCGGCGGGATCCTTGTATGCCCGATTGTAGAACTTGAGCAGCACGGACTCCAGCACAAAGTTGAAGTAGGCATCGTAGCCCGGCTTCCGCGAGCCCACGCCCAGACTCTTGGGCATGTGGTTGGTCATGAGGGTGAAGAGCAGCTGCAGGATGCCTCGCGTCAGCTTGTACGACTCCAGGCGGCTCTCGTTCTGCTCAATCTCCTCGGCCAGGCTGCACTGGCCATAGCTGCTCGCCGTGGGTATGGTGGCAATGATTTGCGAGTCCTCCAAGTGGGACCAAATGGCGCGAGCCGTCTCCCTTGACCTGGCCAAGGCAGCCAAGGCGGTAAGGATTTCTGCCTTGAGTATGAGCGGCGTAGAGCAGGCCACTAAGCCGAGGAGCACCTGCGGCACCTGCCAGTTGGGCTGCTCACAGATCATGATGCGGGAGATCTCATCGTGTTCAGCCACAGCCTGTATGATGCCCATCACGGCCACCAAGTGCTCCGTTTCGCGTTGCGTGATGGAGCGCGGTACGGAGCGGCTGCGATAAATGGTGTCGCCGGCGGTGTTGATGTTTGTGTTGAAGTCATTTCGCATTAGGCTACAAATTTTTAAGAATTTCCATGATTAAATGTCTGTTGATCGCTCTTTTTCAACGATTTTTGTAAGGTAAACTCACTTGTAATAATTTCCTAGCGTTGTAAAGAAGTGATCCCAGCTCACGGCATATGTGGCGGTGGACACCTGTGGATGCTTCAGCATATTGAAAGCGCAGCGGGCTGCGAACTCGGTGCGCGTCAGCCCGGTGATCATCTTGAGGTAGGACTTGAATAAAGTCTGAGGAAGCAGCTCGCTGGCTAAGCTTATAAACTTGAACAGGGACACAGAACGAGAGCTGTTCTTCAAGGCGGCCGTAGGATCGCTGGGGCCCCAGTACTCATTGCATAGCTTTATGGTCACGCGGGGATCCCCATACAGCTTGGCCACGCACAGCATGAGGACCTCGTAGTTGGCATCCAGATTGGGCGGCGGTTCAAGGCCCTCATTTAGAAAGCTGATCACCGTCCTGGCAGACTCATCCGCCCGACCACGCAGCTCCGAGACCTTGGCATGCATAAAGTCTATGAAATCGGTGATGTGCAGGTGGACGCGGCGGTAGATGAATTCGGTGCTAAAGAAGGAGAAGTATCAAGAATATATCTTAAAAGCTATACATGATTCCCACTTACGTGTACACCAGATCCTTCTCCAGCAACAGGCGATAAAAGAAGGCAAACACGCTGGCTGCCAGGGCCTCATCGATGAGCTGCTCATCCCGGTTGATCACCGACAGAGCAGCCGCCTGCAACTGGCTGGGAGCATGCCTCAAGCTGGCCAGCGTCAAACCAAAGCTGTACTTGATCACAGCATCCAGGCGGGGAATCTGCCAGCTGTTCTGCGCATATAAAGCGTCCAGAAAGCTCTTGGCAAACTCCGGATCACTCAGTATAGGCAGGCGGCCGGTTAGCGGATTATTGTGATCGGTGACCAGCAGCACCGAAGTGTCGTACGCGTACAGCAGCGCCATTAGCATGATTGTGGTGATGTCATCAATGTTGCCATCGGCATCTGTGGTCTTGCGATTGGCCAGCAGCTGCAGCAGCCGGATGGCAATGGGACGGGGAAGACCGCGCTGGGCGGACCAGTGGAATAAGGCCATGGCCAAGGCACGCTGAATGTCCTCGTAGAGGCCCAGCACCTGGTTCTGGTGCTTCTTGGAGCCAAAGGCGCGGTTCTTGGTTAGCAGGATGCACTGAAAGAGGAAATTATATTAAGAATGCACTGCAAGCTCCACAGTTCCCTGCTCAAAGCCCACCTCCTTGTCCAGATCCATCTCTTCGAGCAGCTCCAGCAGCCGCCCCAATATGTTAGAATCCTCCACCAGATTCTGGGCATAGTTGGTCACCAAACAGGTCACCTCCCTGGGCAGCTCCGTGCTCCAGGAGACGCCGCTCACCGCCTGAAACATGTCGCGCAGCGCACAGCTGATGGCCTTGCGGCCGTCATAGTAGAGTAGGACTGCCACCAGGCCGCGCGGCAGACCCGGATGATGCATTTGCTGACGCTGGGCGGTGTACAGCAGTTCCATGGCAAAGACCTCGTCCAAATCGAACATGTCCGACAAAATGAAGGCCTCGTCGATGAGGTCCTGCGAGAGGTGCATCTTGCGCGTCTGTCCTGGCATTGTGACGCCATCGTTCTGCACATTTCGCAGATGATTCCGGCTCTTCTCGCTCTTCGGCTGCAAGTGGGTATAAGGATGCGGATTAGGCTAGGTCATGGTCGCTGCAGGACCACTATCTATGCTCACCGGATTGCGCAGGAAGTTGGTAAAGTTCTGTTTGTACTTCTTGAGGCACAGCTCCAAGTCCGAGGTGACGCCGCTCTGGGTCGACATGGCCTGCCGGAACACGCTGTACAGATGCTTGTACGGCGTCCACATGTCCTCGGTCACACCTGGAAAGCGTGGAATCCGGCAACAGGTCAACTAGGCTGCCCTAATGGCTCCTCCTGCGGGGCAAGGCGGCCCCAAACCCCACTTACCATCCATTTTGATATTCTTTTTTCCGCAAGCCGGCGTCGGGAAAACAAAACGCGGTAGAGCGGGAAAGCCTTATACAACACTGGAATACGCGAAATCGATGTACGATATCGATTTTTATTTTTCAACTTTGATATCGTAACGTAATGAACCTATCGAAAAACAGCTGACTTTTGTTTTTATTTTTCCACGTTATTCAACGTCCTGATAACAAAAATGAGTTTTCTGAGAAAAGGACACCGACTGCTTATCGCCGGCATCCTGCCGGCCATTGAACGCAGTCCGGACGATATTGTGGACAAGGAAAACAAGACCTACAAGGCGTACCTGGCCAGCAAGCCACTGGAGGAGACCGGTCTGGAGCGATTGAAGCATATGTTCTCCATCGAGTAAGTAATCAGGATAATTCCACTTGGAAGGAAACTAAGGATATTATTTGCATACGTTTCAGTGAGTTTGGCAGCATATCCTCCGAACTGAACTCGATTTACCAGGCCGGTTTTCTGGGCTTCCTGATTGGAGCAATTTACGGCGGCGTTACACAATCGCGCACGGGATACATGAATTTCATGGAGAACAATCAGGCCACAGCCTTTAAGTCGCACTTTGATGCCAAGGTGGGAAATAAGTTATATAATATAAAAAATTAGTTTAAAAATTTGCATTTTAAATTTGCAGAAAAAGCTGCAAGATCAGTTTACAGTGAACTTTGCCAAGGGCGGCTTCAAATGGGGCTGGCGCGTGGGACTCTTCACCACCTCCTACTTGTGAGTGTCCTTAAATACTTTTCTCTCCCTTCTCTGATAGCTTTTTACAGCGGCATCATCACCTGCATCTCCGTTTACCGCGGCAAATCCTCCATTTACGAGTACCTGGCCGCCGGCTCCCTCACCGGGTCTCTGTACAAAATGAATCTGGGATTGCGCGGCATGGCAGCGGGCGGCATTATCGGTGGCTTCTTGGGCGGAGTGGCTGGAGTCGCATCCCTGCTGTTGATGAAGGCCTCCGGCACATCGATGGAGGAGGTGCGCTACTGGCAGTACAAGTGGCGGCTCGAACGCGACGACAACATCCAGCAGGCCTTCAAAAAGATGACCGAGGGCGACGAACCGGAGTTGTTCAAGGTCCACGACGAAAAGATGACCGAACAGCAGACACAGGTGTCCCTGGAGTCGGTCAAGTAGGATTCACGTCGAGTGTAAACTTAGTTGAGTTTTTTTTATTAATTTAATTTAAATAAATTGCAAATATGTCCTTCTAAAATTTAAACATAGAGACAAGAAATACAGTTACGGAAGCCCTCATTGGCTGCTGCTATGCGTGACGCCTCCACTGGCAAGGGGGGGCACGGAGTAGACACAGAAAGACAGATAGGATGAACACGAAACTCGATTGAATGCAATAAATTAAATGCTCTGCCAGGAACAGACGGTTTGGTGGTTAAATACGATATTGAATTGACTCGATGGGATCAGACTTAGTCCTCGGCGGTGGGACGCGTGAGGCGCTTGGCGCCGCGATTCGGTGGGCCCTTGGGCTTGGCAAAGGCGGGTCGATGCAGGATCTTCTTGGGGTGAAGCTCCTCCTGCAGATAGGCCTCGGTAAGCTCGCTGCCGTTGTCGATTTCCAGCTAAAAATTAAAAATGTATAAATAAATTGTCATAAAGCCCCAAATTTAACCTACCTTCTTGACCACTTCCACGCCCAGGGCCGCCAGCTGGTCGAGGAAGGGCGCCTTGCAGCTGGAGTACATCATGCGCTCGCGCACCGAGCAGGAGTAGCCGGGCATTGAGTAAATGAACACATACGACTCCAAGTAGTCGCCCTCGTGCGTGTGCCGGAACAGAAACAGATGGTAGCGGGCATGATCCTCGGGCACCTGCTTGGGCAGATCGGCCAGCTCCACCTTGGCCGCATGGGAGACATGGATGCGCTCCTCCTCGAGATCGATGCGGAACTGCAGGTAGTCGTAGCTGCCGCGCACCAGATCCTGGACGGCGGCCAGCGTGGCCTCGCTCAGCGGGCAGTTGATGCCGCCGAGCGTCTGGTGGCGCGTGTTCGTGCTGATCTCAGTGTGAACCTCCGTCTTGCGCAACTCCTTAAGCTCCTCCTCCCGCATGGTAAGCGGGGCGGGGGCCGCAAAGTCCCGCTTGTGCCGCCGGTAGCCCTCCAGCGTCGTCTCGTCCAGCGTGGTGGCGTGCAGCTCCTCGGTAATGTAGGCCGAGCCGAACTCTGTCTTAAGCGTGGCCTTGGTGGAGGCGTAGACCATCTTCTGCCGGATACTGGCCGTGTCCGGAGTCCAGCTAATAAGCAGCCAGCTGTGTCCCAGCGGTATCTTGGCGTCCAGCCGGTACAAGATGTAGCAGGGCACGTCGGCCTCCAGCAGAGGAGCTACCAGCTTGTCATAGTCTCGCTCCCAGTCCTTCTTGGCCTCCGCCGTGGCCCCGCAACTCAGCTGCTCTGTGAATGAAAGGGTGCAGCCGGAAACGGCGTTATCAGAGCGGGCGGTACTTAGTATATAATCGTGTGTATATATCACATCTTCCGAATTTCCACTTACCGTTCTCGATCGAAACTTTTATCACACGATATTTGTCTTTTTTCGCCTTGCCGAACACCTTGGCCAGCTGCTCGTTGGCTGGAATGGAAGAAGGAAATGTGTAGAACCTGTTTAAGGAGCTCCTGGCATGAACAAACCTCTGATTCCCGTTTGGTGAGACATTTTTGGCAAAGAAAATAAATATTTCCCCACAAATTTCTATTACTCACAACCAGTGTGACCGAAGTGCGCTGTCGAGGGAACACCCAAATTAGTGTGCAATTCCCAATTATTAGCTAGAAAAAAGCTGATGTGCATTAGCATTAATTTGCTTATTCAAGCTTAATTAAGTAATTAAATGAAAAATAAGTACATAAATCAGAGTTAATCTTCTTTTAAAATAATAGTTAAATTCCTGGTTTAGCAAAAATTAATTAATTAATTAAGGAGAATCATACAACACTAAATCTAGCTAAACTGTCACCCCTACCCTAAATGTAGTGTTACAAAACGCGCATCTTTGTTCTTAAAAAAAAATACAGCGATTCGATTGGGGAAAATGTAAAGAAAAATTGCATTTAATTGCATTTATCGCGAATTAATTAGCCTGGAAAAGCCTCTGCAGTGCAATTGCATAGTCAATAAAGTGAGTGCAGGTGGAAATTCGGTCATTTGAAGCGCCCAATTGGTAATTTGGGGCGCTGGCGTCGACGTCGGCAGAGAGGAAGTCACGCCCCAAGTGTTTACGGGCCTGGAAAGTGCGGAAAATGCGAAGAAACTAATTGTAGCTACCCCCCACAGCATCCATGCCCATGTTGACCGAAGCCCCCATGGCCAGCGAGAACATCATGGACGAACTAGCCTCTCTGATACGCACCGAGATCCCCGATGGCCGCCAGAGCCTGCGGGACAGCTACACGAATTTGGAGCGTGTGGCCGACTACTGCGAGGACACCTACTACCGTGCCGAGAACAAGAAGGCGGCACTTGAGGCCACCAAGAACTACACGACCCAATCGCTGGCCAGCGTCGCCTATCAGATCAACACGCTCGCCTACAGCTACATGCAGCTGCTGGAGCTGCAGGCGCAGCAGCTGGGCGAGATGGAGTCCCAGATGAATCACATTGCCCAGACGGTGCACATACACAAGGAGAAGGTGGCGAGACGGTAAGATGAAAGGGGAAAAATATAAAATTAATATTAATATAATAATAATAATTTTATTATAATTTCCAACTTATTATTTAATTTATAATCCCAAAGTGAAATTGGCGTTCTAACGGCCAACAAGGTAAGCTCGCGCCAGTTCAAGATCGTGGCTCCCATCAATCCGGAGAAGCCCATCAAGTATGTGCGCAAACCCATTGATTACTCAATTCTGGACGAGATTGGCCATGGCATCAACTCGGCCTCGCATCCGCAGGTGCGCCAAAAGCACCGAGGCTCCAGCCATGGTTCTGTGCAATCCCTGGTGCCGTCATCGTCGGTGGTGGGTCCGCCGCCCACCACCAAGCCACCGACACCGCCGCAAATGTCGCGTGGTGCTGGGAATACCGGGACTTTGGGCAAATCTGTTAGCAATACCGGGACGCTGGGCAAGAGCTCCCGCGAGTATCGCACTCCACCGGTGGTCAATCCGCCGCAGGTGCCCTCGCACTATGCGCCCAACTATCCCATTGGGCATCCCAAGCGCATGTCGACGGCCTCGTCGGTGACTACGACCACTACTGGTGGTGGAGCAGCGGGCAACGAGCGGGCAGCTGGATACAGTGCCCTGCCAATGCCGCCCAGCCAGCAGATAGCCACACACGTGAACCTGCCGTCGGCGGGCATGATGCAATCGCTGCCACCGCCGCCGCCCACAACATATGACGATCGGAGCAGCATGCCTCGTAAGTTGGCGTGGAAATTGTGTATATCTTAGATCCTGGAATATATTTTCTGTGTGTTTTCAGCTGCTCCTCCTTCGCCTTTGACGGTGTCGCAGCACGAGATGACCGAGCAGAGTCACATTGGCATGCACACTTTGGGTCGCAACATCAACAGGTAAGTCCTTCATCCCTGATCTTCGTTCTCGTTGTGTACATATAACTCATTTCATATTGTTCTCTGTGCAAAATCCAGGAATCCAAATCGGTAAATTGCATGTTTTCTTTCAATAGATTTTCAAAAGTTATTAATATTTTATTTTTTCCCAAAAAAAAGAAATCATTTCAGCTTGAACTTTGCACGTCCCGGCTCTCAGTCGCCGCCTTTGCCACCTCCGCCGCCGCCAGAGGATGAGCACCAGGATTTTGGAAGACCCAGGACTTCGACGGGACCGCAGCTGGCGCCCATAGTGCCCGAGGATCAGAACTTGCCCGGCTGGGTGCCCAAGAACTTTATAGAGAAGGGTAAGTCAAAGGAAATAAATTAAATTAAATTAATTAATTCCCTTATTTTATCTACCCAGTGGTGGCCATTTATGACTACTATGCCGACAAGGACGACGAGTTGAGCTTCCAGGAGAGCTCGGTGCTGTATGTGCTCAAGAAGAACGACGATGGCTGGTGGGAGGGCGTCATGGATGGGGTCACCGGCCTATTTCCGGGCAACTATGTGGAGCCCTGTGTCTAAAGCCTCGCCTACTCGCTACTCTATATATACACATATATTCTAAACATGCCAACCATTACAATAATCTGCATTATCTGGACTTGTAGAGGGTCCTTGGAGGTTTGAAACAGGCTCGTTTGACAATGACGATAACAATTTTGAGCATAAGGACAATTTATACAATTACAGCGAAGAGAGCGAACAGAATTCCATTAGCATCAGCCCATTGCATTTAGTCTAATATAAACACAGGATTCCCAGGCCCAGGACGAAGCTTGACCTATTTACACTATTTAGTAGCCAAAAATAGCGCTGCTACGAGGGGCGTTACCCTTTATCAACTTGAAGGCAAGTTCTAAAAGTGTTCCACGTAGACGAATTCAGTCCAATTACTTTAAATATTTGCCTAAGCCCACACACCCTCGCCTCTATCCGTATATCCGTAGGTTATATAAATTTCAGTTAGCTTTGAATACTCGAGTATTGTCCAGTTTTACGAACCTTGTTTGCCAGCAGCAAAGGAATCAAATCAAATTTATATACACTCAAACACACACACGCTCTACTTTATATGGTAAAAAATAATAGCTAATAAAAATTTCAATTACCAAACCGCATGTCCTTGTTCCTTGTTCCTTGACTTACCCAGGACCGTGTAATTTGCCTTGCGCGCGCTGACCTTCTCGTGAGCCGGATGCCCATAAAAAAGCAAATCCCGGTAATTGGGGCAAGGCTCTCCGTGGTTCCGCCAAATTTCAAATTCGAAAATCGAAATCTGGAATGCAAATTTCAAGGCACTTTGAGTGACGCCTGGATGGAAGGCTTGAAATATTTACAAATGCCAACACTAAACACCAAAAACCTAGTTTTTACGGCCAAGTCAGTCAAGCCGTCAATCATCATCGACACGCCGCCCACCCAGAGCCTTTTTAGGTAACAAAATTTTAGGTCTTGAAGCCTTGTTTTGTCCTAGAAAAGAGCGTTTTGTTTTATAGGATTTTTTGCCTGTAAAGTAAGTAAAGTTTTTATTTTTTTGAAGCCTTCTTTTCGCCCACAAATATTATCAAGGAGTTATTACTCAAAAGGAGTTGACGTGGCGGAAATGCCACAGAAAAAGAACTCAGAGTGCCTGGCATGATTTGCATAAAATGTGCTAAACCGTTGGCCCTCGAAGAACCCTCTGTGGAAATACCTTTTATTTGTCCAACAATTATTAAAGTGGACCTCAACAAACAGCTGAGAAACTTGGGCCAGAAATGTATGCAAAATGGCGCATTAGCATTTCAACAATTCCAAAAAAGGCAAAAGAACGCGACCAACAACACAATTGATTGTTGTGCCGTGCCAAGAGGTGGAGTCATCCCTCCCCCGAAAAGCTCACCTGCCACAAACTCCTGCACTCCGTCCACCCCCCAGGACATGCCTATAATTTCGTTATTTTCTGACCACGGCCGAGACTCGGACCTCTATTCAGTTGAGTTTGTTACGTCGACGCGAATGGTTCTATCGCCAGGAGCCTGTCATTTCGGTTATTTTACACAAAACTCAAAACGGAAGCAAGCCCACGAGTTTAAAACATTTTTTTGTGAGATCCTTTGGCGTGTCCGGAAAGTTAGCCCGAGCGGATAAAGTGCAAAACAAAACTATTTGTAAGTGTGAGCCACTGCCGTCGCGTTGCAGAGGTGCTTCTGAAAAGTTCTTTATCAAAATGTTTGTTTTACATAATCTGCCGACTCCGAGCGCCGCATTTAATTGACCCACTTGGAGCCGGATTTACCCCGCAAAGTGTAAAATATTACATTATTTCATGTCAAGATTGGGGCCACAGCTTGCTTTGCCACTTTGTAGCGAAACACATTGCGGAATACTTAACCCACTTAGTGGGTACCAAGTTTCCAGAGGAGTCCTGCGGCACGCACAGAGTGCCTACCCGCGAAGGTTACCCACTTGGTCACATGCATCGCATCCTTTATAAGTTTCCCCCAAAAAGTGACGTCACATTAAAGCCATTATGGGGGATATGCAACTTGTGGTCACTACTCCACTTGATGGTACTCTAAAAATAAACCCAGTGGCAATGTGGAAGGAAAGGGAAATGGCTGTGGGGTAATTAAGTCGTCTCCAGGTCACTGGGGCCATCAATCAAGCAACGCTGCGTATACGCAATGTCGTCGGCAGGCTGGGTAATTACAGTCCGGCGATTTACCCTGCTCAGATTTTGTTGGCTCAGCTTTGGACCTTCGTGGAAATAATAACACAACAAACAGAATGTAATTCCCAAGGTGAATTTGAATAACACTTGAAGTCCAGAAGGGGAATTGTTGGGGTTTCTTAGCTCTTAGAGGTTTTTCTGAAGGATTACGAGATGGATTTTAGGTGGCCAACAAAGTCATAGATGTGTACTACTATCAGATTTCATTCCATGCTTCAAATCCTTGATGGAAACATAGTCTTTCAGTTCCAAGAACTCTTATGGACGAGCTTCAAGCTTGATTTTTGTCTTAAGAAACATTTAAAGCAAAAAAAACCCTTACTATAATATTTCAAATCAAGTTCTTCTCTTTTTATGGAAACTTCCTTGCTAAACCGGAAATTTAATAAAGAAAAAACCCATTAAAAAATATGGCGCACTAAAAGTAACGCTTATTAATGTGCTATTTGGGTCACCCAGTTGGAAGGATATACGTTTTAATCCAATTTATAGTAAAGCAATTTGTCAATGTTTATTCCTCTTTGTTGTGGATGAGATCCTAATCTCGAAAGTCCTGTGTTTACTTAGGGATCCTCTTTGTTAAGGCACCTCAATCCAATCAAGTCGAGTCGAGTGAGTTAAAAGGCAAATATCCTTTATCATTTGTCCGGGCTGTCTGTCCCTCCGTCCTGGGGCTCGAAAAGCAAACTCATTAGCGATAAAGAGTCTGTCGCACGCGTTATTACTTAGCCACGAGACTCGCCTCAAACTCCATAATTTATACAGGGTTTTCCCCACCGAAAGAAAAAACCTTTCAAAGTTCCAATTCTCCGCCCAAATTGGCCCAGTTCCCACTCCCGATTTCCGCTAATGAGCACCGGATTGTGGCCCAAACAAAGAGCCACGCCCTCATAGCTCCCAAATGGGGTTCACTAGCCGGCACATATATAACTATGTAAGTAAAGCAAATCAAAACATGGCCATACCGAAGCATTAAAAACATTAACAGAGCCAAGGGAGACAGGGTAGTAACCCCACTAACCCAAGTCCAAGCCGCCCCATTTCGAGTTGGAGTCCTGCGACTTTCGTGTCGTGTCTGCTGGCAATTTACACAAATTCAATAAACGACAAAAAACCCGGCAATAGAATATGAAACAAGAACTGGCAAAAGTGTTGAGGTCTCGGGTCTCCCCGAGTGGAGACCGGGCTGGGTCTATGGGGTGCTGCTGGGTTCACCTGGCTCACCTGGCATTAAAGACCTTAAATCGATTTTCTTACATTATCGTATTAGTGGCAAAGGAATCTCTTTAAGAGTGTCCCCTATGAAAGGGAATGGGGAATACCTAAAGAGTGTTAAGAGGTTTTCTAAAAAAAGATCCTGTTTTTTTTTATGTACAAAATTATAATATAGAATTGTAATAATTAAAAATTGCCATCTTCTATCCAGAAATGAAATGATTTCTTCATCGCCTTTTAAGCTTTTGACTAAAATTGTAATACCCTGTAAGGGTATAAAAACTCTCATAAGTTATGTTTGCGTGTTCATTGCAGGCAAAGCTAAGTCGACAAATCAAGAGATCGAAAAATGATATATGACTTGAACCCAGGCGTTTTCTTTCTTTTTTTTTGTTACATTAATCTAAGGGCAACCGATGTTTTGCAAACTTTAAGCTATAACTTAGCTTCCCAAATAAGTTTGAAAAATTTAAAAATCAGTCTTATCTGTATTTTTAATCATTAAATTTCATTTAACAATAAATAATAATAATTTTCTGTGTGTACTCGTCACCCAATTTGGACACTCAATATACCAACCCCTTCGTTTGTTGACACTCGAGGCCTGTAATTTGTGTACATATATTTATTAGAGGGGGGAATGCGTCTTGCCTGGGACTGTTCCATGACATATTCATGGCACCTGAATGGGAACGTGGTATTAAAGTTAATAATGCAGCCGCCCCCACGAAGGGCAGTCGCACGTTTTATAATTGAGCAGCTTTTAGGTAAATGAAATTATTATATGGGTTTGGGGAAGCGACAGTTGGTTGTGGCTTCGGGTGGGGGTACCTAGGGGTGACATGGGGTTGGGTCAGAGGTCGGCACGGGACATGGCTCTGGGTTTAGCGGGTGGACAGGGTGAAAGTAGTGGCAATCCAATTTACACGCTTGAAACAAGCTTACAGTTTAGTGTTTTTAAGTGGGTTTAATTACAAAAAATAAATAAAAATAAACTATTACTAATTACAAAAATAAATCACTAGAAATTCTAAATGTATTACTTTCTTTTCTATATATAAAATTTCGTAAAAAAATGAGTTTGTGGACCTTGAATTGGATTTAATTTTCTCAGGCCATAAGAATATTCCCCCCTAATATGGTCCAAGTCGTGGACTAACCTATTACTAGGTTCAAAGACTTTCCAGGGTTTTCCCCGTGCTAGTTTACAGTAGCCACTCGATGACCATTGACTCCTTTCCCATTGATTTGCATGTCAAGACACATTTCTTTTCGGGGTGTTCCAAGTTCACGGCTTGATTTATGGCTCACGGCAGCTCCTTGAGCTGAGAGCTTGAGCCACAGGTAAACAATGCGCTCCGGAGACCTTAAGTAACCCCCTACTCCCCGTAAACCCCACCAGGTGCCAAGGCCTTGGCGCTTAAATTCACAAGTCCATTAAGCGCTCGCTGGGCGTTCCCGCACTGCTGATGGCATTTGTACGATTGTTGACAACAAATTGACACGATTTGTAATGGTCTTGTCCAGGTCAGGTCATCAGTCAGGTCAGGCCAGGCGGCACGTGGCCAGGACAAGGACGCTTACGACCGCCTTCACTTCCAACTTACACACATTCCAGAGGATCGGAACAACGATGGCGGCCAGTGCAGGAGCTAGCAGTTGGTCGGGCAGCAGCGGCGGCAGCAATTCATCACAGGGACGATCCATAGCCACCGCCCAGCCAGCGCAGGAGGAGCGATTGGTGGTGAGTACACTTAATGCTAGAGATGTAATAATAAAAACTTAAATAATCATACAACTTCACCTTTCCATCTCCCCCGTTAGGTGGCCGTCCGTGTTCGTCCTAGCATGGAAGCCGCTGAACGTTGCATCGAGGTGGTTTCCGGTGGATCGCTGCTCTATGATGATGGCGGCAAGAGTCGTCCGCGACAGTATTCCTACGATCATGTCTTTCGGGAGAACGATACCCAAGAGCAGGTGTACAAGACAACCACAGCACCGCTGGTCAGAGATGTTCTCAATGGCCTCAATGCCGCCGTATTTGCGTATGGAGCCACGGGCTCGGGTAAGACGCACACCATGTTGGGGCCAGTGCCGCGCAAGAAGCCCCAAACCGCACCAGATCGGCCACCAGCTACCGCTAGCTGCGAGGCCACGGATGTGAGCAGCCTGGACATTGGCCTAATGGTGCGCGCCATCGAAGATATCTTCAGTCACATCGAGTCGGCGGAGGCGGACACCTGTCGTGTGTCCATTTCCTACCTTGAGATATACAACGAGCTGATCCGGGATCTTCTAAATCCTGGCGGACCCCTGGAGCTGAGAGAAGATCATCGGGGCCAGCGCATCACGGTGGCGGGTCTCTCGGAGATCACCACAGCCAGTCGAAAGGAGGTGGTGAGTCTGCTGATGAAAGGGAACAAGGCGCGCACCATGGAGCCCACGGCCGCCAATCAGACCTCCTCCCGGAGCCACGCCCTGCTGAGTATCACTGTCCAAGCGCGGACTCCCCTGGGCACCAAGCAGGGGCGATTGTTCCTCACCGATTTGGCCGGTTCGGAGCGGGCCAAGAAGACGAAGAATCGTGGGAAAAGACTGCAGGAGGGCGCCCACATAAATCGCAGTTTGTTGGCTCTGGGAAACTGCATCAACGCTTTGTCCGGCGGAGCGAGATATGTGAACTACCGGGACTCGAAGCTGACGCGGCTGCTCAAAGAGGCGCTCAGTGGTCGCTGCAAGACCGTGATGATCGCCCACGTGGCGCCGGAGAGCAAGCACCGGGACGAGACCAAGAACACTTTGGTGTATGCGGATCGGGCTAACAGCATCACCACCAAGCTCCAGAACTCCGTGTACATTGATGAGTTCAAGGACTTCCCCACCAAGCACTACCAGAGTTTGGTCTCCGAGCTGCGGGACGAGGTGTCGCGTTTGCGCACCAAGATGCTTACGGAACGTCCTCGCAGTGGAGCAGCTGCAGCAGCAGCAGCAGCGGCGGCGGCCGCAGCGGCATCGGCATCCGGAGCCGACTCTTCCGCGGCTGGACTAGGCGGCGCCATCCCCGAGCAGGATGAGCAGCGCAAGACAGAGCTGCGCTATTTGCGGGAGCAGATCGTGCTCACCTTCAAGCAGCAGATGAAGCTGCGACGCAAGCTCCTGGAGGCCGAGAGCCATCTGTTGGGCTTGGAGCTCGACGCCGAGCGGCAGCACATGATCATCTCGCACTGGCAGGGGCGCATCGGGAAGCTCTACGACGCCATGGGCGAAGATGGTGGCTATTACTACCCTCCCATCCAGGAATTGAAATCTATTAAAATGTATTCACCTGCAGATATAGAATCCGAGGGCTCCGTGGCCTTGAAGAACGCCTGGGGCGAGCTGGCGGCCATTGAGAAGGAGAACCGACGCTACAAGGAAATCCGTGAGCGGACAGAGCACGAGCTGGAGCAGTGTCGCCAAAAGGGAGTCAAGCTGGAGGATGTGAGTTCACTTTGATTTAAATCTTCTATGGTTTAAACTCTCTTCTCTTGCCAGGAGCTGCCGGAGAGGATTAGCAGCGATGAGGAACGCGAGCTGCTGGCCTTACTCTGCCGCGTCCATGAACTGGAGGCGGACAAGGTGTCCCTGCAGGCGGAGCGACTAGCCCGCCAGGCGGAACTGCGGCGTCGCGACCTCCAGCTGCTACGAGCCGAGCGCCAGCGCCGTCTCTGCGAGGATATCATAAGCTCCCAGCGACGGCTGATAGAGGAGGGTAACGTGGATTTGCCCGATGAGCTGCGCGAACTCTACGGGCTGTATCAGCAGGAGATACACGCGGGCGTGGTCACGCCGAGCACCAGCAACTATGAGAAGAAGCTGCCGCCCATTTACACGGCGGGGTAATTGATTAATCCTTCCGTCCAAAAAATATCCTGAATCTCTCTGGTTTTAGTTCTGATTCGCCCGGCTCCAGTTCCAGCTCGGAGTGGTCTCCGGCCTCGCCCCTGCCGCCCATTGACAGCCAGGTGGATCCCGTTGATCGTGTCATGGGTCCGCCCGTCAATCCGCGTTTGCCTCGGCTGGCCACCGCCGCTTCGAATACATCTGTCCAGGGCGGCGCAGGCGGGTCACGGCGTCCGTCACTGCGCGTGGCCAGGAGCAACCATCCGCATCCGTAGGAACACGGTATCTAGCGCCGGGAATGTGCTCAGGAATAGTGTATTTAAAGATTAGGGTTACAGGAAGATGGAATTGAATGTCTGCTCAAAAACACTTGTATTATAACCTAACATTTTCGCATTATTTATTATTAATTATAAATATTTCTTTATCAAATAAATAAATAAATTCGAATTGAAACGCTCTATTTTTTCGGAATGAAATAATTTGAACATAAATTTGTATTACTTTTATTTTTTGTTGTCAATTAAAGAATATGAATAATGCATGTGTACAAGTCGATTTAGCCATGTCTGCTATAATTATTATTCGTTATTTTTCATTTTTAAAAACATCTAATCAACGTTGCCAGATCGCCAGTGAACGAGCGAACAAAAGTGCCAGACTTTTGGAAAGTGGCATCACTAATAAAACTAGTGATGCAAAAACATCGATTGTGAGTACATCGATTGTTTTCAACATCGATGTTTCAAAGCCTATTTAAGTTCCATCTCTATCTCGCAACCTGGAAAAAACGTTGTGTTCCTTGATTTTGTTAAACAATTTTCAATGACTAGTTCTGCGGCGGTGAAGGACGAGGTGGGCGAGAGCCCCAGCCCGGATGTGGTTATCCTGCCGGATCGCGAGGATGATGTAAGTTGCCATTGAAAACTTGAACCCTGAGTCCCCAGGCACACACGCACACACTTGTATGTGCGCCTTGCCCCATGACGCACTGAATTGTGCTATTCCGGGTATGTACCACCCCCTTTTTACCACCCACTTGCCGCCCTGCAGGACATCTGCGAACTGGAGCACTTGCGTAAGCTCTTCATAGGCGGCCTGGCGCCCTACACCACCGAAGAGGGCCTCAAGGTGTTCTACGGACAGTGGGGCAAAGTCGTAGACGTGGTGGTGATGCGCGATGCGGCCACCAAGCGTTCGCGCGGCTTCGGCTTCATCACATATACAAAGTCCATCTGTGTGGACAAGGCCCAGGAGAACCGTCCGCATGTCATCGATGGCAAGTGAGTACAAACGAGAGTAGTTGCCGCCTTAAAGGTTTAGAATCATATCATTCCTCTGCAGAACTGTGGAGGCCAAGCGCGCTTTGCCCCGCCCAGAACGCGAGTCGCGGGAGACGAATATATCCGTAAAGAAGCTGTTTGTGGGCGGTCTGAAGGACAACCATGACGAGGATTGCCTGCGGGAGTATTTCGTTCAGTTCGGCCGTGTGGTCTCCGTCAAGCTGCTGACCGACAAAACCACCGGCAAGCGTCGTGGCTTCGCCTTCATCGAGTTTGACGACTACGATGCCGTGGACAAGGCCATACGTAAGTAAACAAAACCAAGTTCACTTTCACGAGGAAAGCCCGAATGAGATAGTGATCTCATTATCAGTTGTTCTCCGTTTATTGCAAAATCTCCATAAACGGATTATCCCAATCTTGTGTACTTTCCTTGCAGTCCAGAAACAACATTCCATTAAGTACGTGCACGTGGATGTGAAGAAGTCCATCTATAATCTGGAAAAGAAGGACAAGCAACAGCAGGGAGCCTTGACCAATGGCAACAAGCCGCCGCCGCCCAATCAACAGCAACATCAGCAGCAGCAGCAGCCGCATCAACAGGCACCGCCGCCACAGCCACAGCATAATGGCAATATGCCAGTCCCACCTGGCTACCGTCCACCCGGGCCCCCGCCTCAGGGTATGCCCCCCTACCATCAACAGCAGCCACCACCACCGCCCATGAACGCCCCGCCGCCCAACTACAATTACTGGGGACCGCCTCCACCGCCCATGCAGTCCTATTACCAGCAACCGCCCCCACCCCAAATGACCGCCTGGGGACCCTATCCGCCGGCCCAAAATGGCTGGAACGCTCCCCCGCCGCCGCCACCAGGTGCCCAGCAGTGGCATCCCAGCCAATGGGGCTGTCCGCCGCCGGTGCAACAGGTACCACCGGCCGGTGTGGTGCCGCCTCCAATGGATCATCGTCATGGCGGTCCTCCGCCTCCGGCTCCTGGAAACTGGAATATGCCGCCCAATGCACCGACTCCGGGTCAAGGAGCTCCACCACCGCAGGGTCCGCCGCCCCACCAGCAACCACCGCCGCAGCAACAGCAGCCGCCACCGCCGAACTTTGGCAGCGGCTATCAGCAGACCTACGGAGGTGGCCCGACGAAGCACAACAACATGCACGCGAACCGCATGAACCCGTACGCAGTGGCGCCTCCCAATCCCTACCGTATGTTGAGAGTTCTCTGCGATAAATCTGTCAGTAAATCTCTCATTTACTCCACAGAACATCCTCAGCAGCAGCAGCCGGCACCTGCGTATCCGCCGTATAATGCCACCGCACCGCCGCCCAATGGAAACGTGCCATCAGCAAGTAGTACCAAGGCCGTGGGCGTGTCCAACGGTTCAGTGGCCACCGGAGGAAGTGCCAACAGCAAGTACCGCCGCTAGAAAGGGTGAGTGAATGATGAAGGTGCAACCTGTGCAAACAACCCCAACCGTCCCCGCCATTAGTCGTTTATAAATGTGGCCTAATCATAAGAAACAGGGATGTATATCGAGGAAAAGTACGATATATATGTATATTGCTCGATAACATATCGGTAAATATCGAGGAGTATGATATATATACATTTTAAATGATGAACATATAATTAACAAAAAAAATTACCTAACGTTTGATATATCGTTTTTTTTTTTAATTAAAAATATCTCTTTTTTAAAGATATCGAAAAGGAAAATTAAAAAACAATATTACAATTCTTGTTTAACGATTATTTAAAAAAATTACATTATAGGTAAATTTGAATTACCTTTTATTTTCAACAAAAACAACTTAAACTATAATTATTTGGCACAGTTTAAGAAAAAAAAGTTTATCGATTTATTGAGCATATTTTGCAAATTAAAAATATGAATTTATGTATGTATCAGACTTTTCTCAAATACCCATACGCTAAAATCCCTTATAAGAGATACCCGAATACGTCTTGCCACTATTCAGACAAGCCCACAAGCTGGGAAAAAATTGACTCTCACCTCATCGATATATTTCGATATTTCAGAAAATGAATTAAATCAAGAAACACACGTCTTATTTATATTGATATCATTTTTAGATAAACAATAAAGTAAAAAAAAAAGAAAAATATCAAAAATTAAATTAAAATTCCAATAAAATAATTATCGATAGATATGATCGATGTTAAAATCATTTTTTTCCCAGCTTACCCACAGATGAGGCAGTACGTCTGAAGACTCGTTAATTTATTTACTAATGTGTAATGTTCTCTTTGATTTAGATGCTCTCAAAAAGATCATGATCAAGATACTGTTAAATAGGCTCTTTGATAAGCTAGGCCAGACTCGCTTAGTTACTAACAGGACACTTGACGAATTGTCTCTCTCTCTCTATCTATCTCCTATCTCTCTATCATAAGACAACTAACTACGGTTTTTACTGTACACTTAAGCTATGCCATTGATAAATCCTACGATCGATCTAAGCTAAACCACAAGCACATATTTTCTACACCGAACGTATAGGAAGGAGCCATGCCATGCTCTTTTACTTTGGACATATGTATGTAAACCCTGCAGATATAATACAAAGCTCTCTATTATTATCCATCTCTCTGTCTGCAAGTCGAATTGAGGAAAAGGCAATTGAAGCAATAAATCAATTAACAATTAGAATGAAAATTACAAAGATTAAGCCTGAGCTTATTGGCCAAAAAACAAAACAAGAAATTATAGCTTAGTCATAGATATAATATTAATATTATCTGAACCATTTTCAACAAGAGATACGTCCACAAAAAGAAAGAAACAAGAAATGAAAATCAGATCTTAAATCAAATCTAACTCTGAGCTGGCGGGCGTCACACGGATGCGTGGCCTTACCTATCAATGTACACAAGAGTTGATATCAAAAACTATTGTCAATTTTCATGAGAAACGACGAATATTTAATCTATAAACTCGACGACTCTGTAACGGTTTCCAAAGCAGCAGACACTGAAAAAAATGTTTATGTTGAACCTTTTGATTTTCCACAAACAAATGAAATAATATTAAGCTTGCTGATATGTATTCACACACACACACACACCACACACACCTCTAAGTTAAGTCTAAATCTACTCTCTTTACCTAGATGTACGACTCGTTCTCTCTCTTAAGCTTACGTTCCGTAGCGCACGCCAAAGGCTTTGAATTGAAATTATAAATTAAATGAATTAATTTATGTATAATAATGATAATACGATAAAACAGGGGTGATACGGAGAGGATCAGTCCACCAATGGCTCCATCGAGAGCTCCTCTATACAACACACTAACCACACACTTTATGATAACCGAACTATATATTATGAAAATCCGTATTTATTTTAAATAAATAAATAAAAAATGCAACACTATGTATTTGTTTGAGGCGCCGATTTGTAAGTCTCTGTCTCTATATTTGTGGGCAGTCTAAGTAGCAATAAACTTAAACTATTTACCTCAAGATCAAGTTAACTTTATGGTCGCAAGTCATACATTTTCAACTTAATGTTAAACATAAATCTACTATACTCGTAAGGAAGCCAGCTTTCGTTGAGCCAAGCTTTATTCCTAAGGTAAGTTAGTGATGAGGGAGGGATGCCTCCCCTAGGATATACACATACACTAAATAGTTTCGATAAGTGCGCTTAAGTACCTGCTTTTTATGTAGCATGCCCTACAACACCTGTTTCTTTCAATATTTCAATATCAATATTTCTTTTCCAAATGAAAACCCTCCCAAAAAAAACCTGAGAACTCCGCTGGAGAGACGAATACCCACAGTTGGCCAAGCTCCAAGGGTAAGTAATGGACGTACCTTTATAACTATTATATTTTTTATAAATAAAAGAAAAAACTATCTAAATCGAGACATTCTGTATTTTCATTTCGAACGAACATGTTGGAAAGGCAACATGTTGGAGGCAGATTGGGGGATCGCTCCAGTTTAGCGATCCGTAATCATTGGGAAGCTTTTCCAGAGGCAACCAGTCGGTCGCCATTCGCCAATGCGCTTAGACATTTGACCAGGAAATCAATTTTATAAAAATTTAAGAAAAAAACAGTGAGTACAAAATAGAAGTGGAACAAAGGATTAAGTGTTGAACTGGGTCTTTTGATAAGTGTACATGAGTTTCATAAGCAAGTGTTTCCTCTCCAATTACTGCAAGCTCAGCAATGTTCTCAACTTCCCTTCAAGTTCATTAGTCTTCGATATTGAATCGATTTTGCAATTAATTGAACTAAATGTTTGCTTAAATCAATCAATTTGCCAGAACTCTTTTGTTATAATTAATTTCAGTGAGTCCCAAATAAAATCAGTGCCTTTTTTGCAAGGTCAACTATGTATGTATGTCTGGAAATAGTGTCATCATCGCGCTTTTTGCTGTTCCGTAAATTCCACTAAATTGTTTTTCATGGGGATGGGGGGACCCACACTCCCTGCCATTCATTGCTCCCTCCGCCTCCAACATAAACATTGCATCTTGGATGCTGCTGCATCACGTCATTGTTTTCTAGATTTGTCGGTATAATTAAACTGCAGCGCACAGTATATATGTATACAATTCGCTGCGGAATGCACTGGCAGCAGCATCCAACTCGGATATTCCTGGAACCCACAAGATACATTTGTGGGGCATTTTTTTTTTATTCACAAATGCGGCGACGATTAAGCAAATCTTGGTGCCCCAAAACGGAAGCGAGCGATCCTGATAAGCGGCCTGGGGCCAAGTCGGGCCTGACGATAAGCCAAATGTGTCGTCGTTGAGCAATTAAGTGTACTATATACTATATATATATTACATATATATAGAAAACACAGGAACATAGAACTAGGGCGACGTCTTGAACTGATTATATTTGAAAGTAGATGAACAATATGGCTCGTTTTTGAGTCTGTTTTTGAAAAATAAAGGTCAGCTTTAATCGGGGACAGAGGAGCTGCCACCTAAAAATATATACTCGGACTTGGGTACATACAGATTTTTGCCACTGCTGCTGATGATGATGATTCCATCCCGGCGAGAAGCTTTTGAACTGGGGAACACATGTGTTCAACATGCCTGACAGAAAATCTGGAACTTTTCTCTGCGGTTGCAGTAATTAGAAAATTGTTTGCAATATGCTCAGGAAATGGAAATCAAACATTCAAATTGTCAAAAGCTCTATTCTTTTTATGTTTTCAGATACCTGGCTGTTTGGATTATTTTTTAAATATTTAATATTTCAGGAATTTATCCTTTTTTATTTAGAGTTATATCTTGAATTTTAGTAACATGTTAGCAACATGCTCAGGAAATGAAAATCAAAGATTCAATTTGAAAGAACTTCATTCTTATATCTTCTTCAGATATTCCACGAATCTATACCTTTTATTCAGTGATATATATTACATTTCAGTAACCCAGAAATAGTCAGAAAACAATAAGTTCCCTTTGTCTTCACTCCCCTGGGATTGGCACAGATCCATAAATTAATTTCCTCATAAAAGGAGCGCTTCTTCGCTATATATATATACATACATACATAAATTCGCGGTGACCTTTTGAACTCTGTAACGGCAAGATTTTCTTCCGGCTTCTTCAATTGTGTGTACAATGGGCTAAAGGCGCCGATTCCCTTACAAACGCTCAACTTGATGTAAAAACCACCCCGTAAGGGTGAGAGTTACACGACCGTTACGTTTCCTTGGCGCGGAGTACAGTAACGTTGAGAAATACTTATTACGTCGCCTCCTTGAAGCGGAAGTTGGGCAAGGCCAAAGCTAATCTCAGGGCGGTTTGGATTTCCCCATTTCACCATGATTTCTGCGTGACCTTTATACAGATTTAGGTCGCTGGCTTTACTTGCTGATAGGAGAGCTTTGAGATTTTCAAAATGAAATCTTTTAATTTCATTTGTTTTATGAGGGAAATGATTACATAATACAAATTTATACAAGTTTATAGTTTTGTAACTTTTTTAGTTAACATTGCATTATGCGCTCCCTTTGGCTGCTGCTCGGCCTGGGACTGCTGGCCATGTGCCAGGTCCAGGCCTCCGAGGAGGAGTCTTTAGGTGACTTGGACGATCTTGATCTGAGCGATATGGATGAGAACGATGAGGAGTTCCTGCGACTCCTTGAGGACAAGGCCAAGGTGGGTTTAGCCTGCAGCATACAAAATCAAACAAAGTTTTGAAATGCTCTTTCCAGGCCAAGGACGTGCAACGGGAGAACGAGATTGCCAGCCAGCTGGCCGAGGTTCAGCATAATCTGCTCAATCCCGTTGTGGAGGTGGATCTCTGTGAGACGATTCCCTGCGGCGCTGGTCGCATCTGCCAGATTCAAGACGAGAAGCCCGAGTGTGTGTGCATCCCGGAGTGTCCCGAGGAGATCGATACCCGTCGCCATGTCTGCACCAACACCAATGAGACCTGGCCATCGGATTGCTCCGTGTACCAGCAGCGCTGCTGGTGCGACAGCCGCGACGAGCGCTGCGCCAATCTGGACAACGCCCACATGCACATCGATTACTATGGAGCCTGCCACGAGCCGAGGACCTGCGACGGTGAGGACCTGAAGGACTTCCCCAGGCGCATGCGCGACTGGCTCTTCAACGTGATGCGGGATCTGGCCGAGCGCGACGAGCTGACCGAGCACTACATGCAGATGCAGCTGGAGGCGGAGACCAACCACTCGCGTCGCTGGTCGAATGCTGCCGTGTGGAAATGGTGCGACCTGGACGGCGACACCGACCGCTCCGTCTCCCGCCACGAGCTGTTCCCCATCCGGGCACCGCTCGTAAGCCTGGAGCACTGCATTGCCCCCTTTCTGGAATCGTGTGACTCCAACAACGACCATCGCATCACCCTGATTGAGTGGGGCGCCTGCCTGGAGCTGGATGCCGATGACCTCATTGAGCGCTGCGACGACGTCAAGCGGGCTAAGCCGCATATGTTGGGCTAAGCCCCCCCAAAAAATCTTTCCCTACTTTCGTAGAATGCCCTAAGCACTAACCCACTTGTGCTTCCTTAATCCAGAAATGTCTATTTTTGCACGATTTTATTGTAAGAGCTTTGTGTTTAATGAAAATAAACAAAGGTAAATAATACTTTCAAGTGTCAACATGGACAGCGTTTTTCTTAGTTTGTTAAAAAGTTGGGATATATGTTTGATATTTTTACGATAAAATTGAAAAAATATATATAGTTATACAAGAACAAATTAAAAATAATAAGTATTCTATATTGAATAAAATAAACCAAAAACGGTAAATAAATATCAATATATTTTCCAAAAATTGTGGTCCAAAAATATCTAAAGGAATAATGATTTATTCCAACCTTTCAAGATCGATTTAAATATAAACTCCCCTTAAATTTCATACCTAGATTCATAGTTTCCATATATTATTTCTGCATCCCCACTCCATAAAGTAAAGACAATTTTAACACCTACTGTATCTCTTAAAAGTAAATACCAACTTTACATTTATGTTATACCTTTAAAATTGTAAAAATCTTGTCAAAATTTTGCAAATAACAGGACTGGAGTTTTTATTTTAATTTTTATTAAATTTATTCGTGTAATTTTTTGCTCTAAATTTAGTTTGTTTTTTTTTTTTCATACTAAACCTCGCCGTGAATGCGTGCGGGTGTCAATACGTTTTGTGTGTGTGTTTTTTGTATGTTTATATGCTTGTGAGTGTTGGGCAGATGCTACAATTACATATTTATGCATTACGTTGTATAAAAGAAGTGTGTGCTGGCGCACAGAAATGATTACAACTCGTCGGTTTGCCAGCTTGTCTCTGCTGAAATCTGAATTTAAAATTACTTTCGAAAAAGATCGGAGAGCCTAGTAGGCCTGCGACAGAATGACGTTGCCCTTTCGCTGCGGATCCTGTACTGTGTCCTCTTTCTTGCCGATCAGCGACTTGTGTATGTGCGGAATGACACCGCCGCCGGCAATGGTTGCCTTGATCAGGCTGTCCAACTCCTCGTCTCCGCGAATGGCGAGCTGTAAGTGGCGCGGCGTGATACGTTTCACTTTAAGATCCTTTGATGCGTTGCCTGCCAACTCCAGAACCTGTAAAAGGGTAAAAATTGGGTTATTAGGTCATCTAATTGGTTAAATGTAGAAAAATTTGAATTAATAAGCGTCTTAAATTCATAAAAAATTAAGACAATTATTAGGATTGACAAATAAATTCAATAAAAATTATAAATACAAATTCTGAGATTTCAAAGATTGAAAAATTAAAAAAATAATTATTGCATGAACAAATGCCTAAGTTGCATCATTTAGCTTTCTCCGAAAATAGCAATAAGATTTCTTTTCTACTTTGCGCGGCTTCTTGGAAAAGTACCGCTGAACGCTCGCTTTGCGGTTTACAACGCTCCACAAACACTCACCTCGGCGGTCAAATATTCCAATATGGCAGCAGAGTAGACGGCTGCCGTGGCTCCAACACGTCCGTGGGATGTGGTGCGACTCTTCAGGTGACGGTGGATACGACCCACGGGGAACTAGACGGTGAATCGGGGGCAAAAACACAAAGAACATTAATTACCGGCCGGCTTGTTTATGTTTTGCCACCCCCGAAACAGGGCAACGCTCGCAGCAACGCAGCGCGGCACCCTGTTTGTGGTGGAATATGCTCGGGGCGAGGTGAGAACGGAAAAGGCGCCAAAAGTACAGACAACAACAGCAGCGGCAGCTCACGAATCACTCACCTGGAGACCCGCGCGCGCCGATCGCGAGACCGCCTTCGCCTTAGCCTTGCCGGAATCCTTGCCTGCTTTGCCGCCAGCCTGTCGAGGAAAAAAAAACACACACACTGAGTACGGAGAACAAAAAACACAAGCCAGCAAACACAAAATGGAGGCGCCTCGGCCTCCAATTGTGAGGTTAGGGCCGATCGCCTCCGCAGCAATAACAAATGCCCGCCTTTTGCTGCCGAGCCCAGCGCCCAAGGGAGAGCGCGGGACAGCGGCCCATTCAACTTTCGCGCTACGTGGTGGTCACCGCCGGCGGCCTGCATCAATATTTGATTCGCGGGGGGCACGCGCAATGCGAACAGAGGCTGCTAACGCTGCAGAAGCGACCTGCGCTGCCGCTCAAATTTCGCTGTTCGCTGCCATTCGCCGCAATTACCATTTCAACTCAATCGATTTTTCTGCTGCTTGCTAACTGCGCTTGCGAAATGCCTAGGCACGGGGTTTCTGCCGCGATGGGAATGATTGCGACCACAGAACAGAAGCGTAATTTGGATGTTTTAATAAGAACTATTCTCTCTTTCGGGAACGCGTCTGCTCGGCACTTGAAAAACTTTGTTAATGACTAGAGCTGGGAAACTATCGATGGTACTATCGAGGTATCGACTTTTTCCTTTTTTTGAGCCACCATCGATAGTTTTTTATCACTATCGATAGTACGGGACTATTTTTATATCTCTGCTTTGTTGCTGAAATTTAGTAAGAAAAATGCAAACAAATATATATATATATATATATATATTTTTTTTTTTATAATAAAAATGTATTCTAAATTAACTTAAATTGGAGTTGGTGGTGAAAAATATTAACTGAATCTCAAAAGAAAGGGGTCTACGCCACGTCTTCAGAGTCTAATAGGGTCTTCCCACACACCGTCAAAGCGCATCTGGCATCCGTTGAACAAACGGTCCATAAGGTTTTGCCGTTCCGAATTTTCTCAATTGGCCCTGCATCAAAGCGCATCTAAATGTAACGACCGTTTGTTTGGCGATAGTTCTTCGGTGCAACTCTGAAAATTTGACCATCACTACGAAAGTGTATACACACTTGGCGAGAAACAAATGAGATATGGAATTTAAAACGTGGCGCCAAAGCTACAAGCATGCCCAAAATAGATGTTGGCGTTTTTTCGGTATATTCTTGCCCCAATATGTCCCCAATTGTTACTATTTAATATAAACCGCCTACCTCTACCTTATTTTAAAGATTTTGGATGCCTATACCACCTATAGACACTTTTCGGTGAATTTGCTCTTTGTTAGAGAAAAATCATTAGAAAAACTAAAATTCCTTGTCATTTAAGTCATTTAAATTTATTGCGGATAAATTCTGACGCAATCTGTGCCTTTTGCTGTTGTACAACAGCCAAAATAGCTGGTAAATGCTCCATTTCAAATTTGCAACTGCCAATTCGACCGCCTTTGTTTACGTTTTCATGAGCCACAGCTGATCGATCAGCTGTTCGGATGCAGATGCACTTTGATGCAGCTCTGTGGGAACACGAGTTTCGCATCTGCGAAAAATCCCAAACGTTCCTCACAGATGCGCTGTGTGGGAAGACAGTATAAGCGTATGTTTAGCAATGGTAATACAATTTTATTTGTGCAAAGTTGCTTGGATAGAATATTTATGTTAATTACTTAGTCAAAACATATTGAATCTATATATATAAAAATGGAGACAAAAAATGTTAGGGATCAAATCACAAGAGAACGGCTGGGCCGATTTGGATCAAATTTTTTTTCAGTTTTTTGTAATTGCCAGAAGAAGGTTATAGCATAAGAAAATTTTGGAAAGTCCTTCCGGAAAGGTCGCTAGCGGCTCAACAGATGGACACACTGTTGTATGTAAAATTCTGAAACACCCTACAAAGATCATAGCTGCGTTGAAATTGTGTATCAATGAACTCGGTAAAAAAATATTTAAACAAAAAAATCGAGCTAACGAAGCATTACCAAAGTGAGCTTAAACAATTGGAAGTAATGCCTGCTGTTAGACGATCAAATCTTGGGCGGCGTTCACGCAGTGCAATAAATAATCAGAATTTCCGTAATAGTCGGACGCAAGAGGAACGTACAGAAATAAATGCATCGATACGTGCCCAAATGGCACAGCTTCGCGCTGCACAAAGACCACCTCAAGCCCGACAAAATAATAGAGGAAGACGAGCCGCAAATGAAAACTTGAATCGCGCTGCATTCCCATACAATCCTGAAACATCCTACAAGGATCTTACGTGCGTTGTTATTGGTTCATTATCTGTTGTATGTCAGCATTGTAATGCATTGAAGTTTCGGCTGGAAACCCCCGGCTTATGCTGTGCAGGTGGCAAAATGAAATTGCCCGTTTTGGCTCATCCACCAGAGCCATTGTACTCGCTACTATATGGAAACTCAGCCCAATCAAATAGTTTCCTGAAGCTTGCACAAAAATATAACGGATGCTTTCAAATGATGTCTTTTGGAGCCGAGGTTGTTCAACAATCAGGCTACAATCCAAGTTATAAGGTAATGGCGTCTCTTTATTATCACATTTTTTCAAAATTGCATCCCAACATTCAGATTCAAGGGCAAATTCACCACCGAGCGGGCGCTTTGTTACCACCACAAAACAAAGATCATAAATTCCTTCAGATCTATTTCATTGGTGATTCGGAAGTTGAACTAAATCACCGCTGTGCAATTTTTACTGCAACTAAACGTGAAATTATTCAACAATTGCAAACCTTCTCCATGAGCATAATGAATTGGTCAGATTGTTTAAAACCGCATTGGATATAATGCATTATGACGAACATAAAATCATTATCAGCGCTGACAAAAGACCCACTGGTAGCCATGCAAGACAATTTAATGCTCCCACTATCAATGAAGTCGCAGTGGTGATTGTTGGCGAGAATGTTGAATCACGCGATATTGTTCTTAAGCGTCGGGATAATGGCCAATTGCAGCGAGTTTATGAGACTCATCGGTCTTATGATGCTCTTCAATACCCGTTGATGTTCTGTCGTGGAGAAGATGGGTATCACTTCAACATAAAGATGGTCAATCCAACGACAGGTTTGTTTAAAAGTCATCACGAATTCCGATTATTCCAACAGATCTTCCATTCCAATTCAAGAGGAGTCAGTTCCCAGTTCGATTGGCATTTGCGATGACAATCAATAAATCGCAAGGCCAATCGTTGGAAGTCTGCGGGATACATCTGGAATATCCATGTCTTTCACATGGCCAGCTATACGTAGCCTGTTCGCGTGTGGGAAAGCCGTCATCATTATTTATTTTTGCACCGGATAACAAAACAAAAAACATTGTATATCAGATCGCTCTGCACTAATTTCAGGTCAAAAAAATTTGTCAATCCAACGAAAGGTTTGTTTAAAAGTCATCACTTTTTTTTGATTATCAACTAATTTTGAATTTAAATTTTAGGAGAAGATAGGAATAAGGTAAGGTAATAATGTACGTCAAAGTAGAAACGGAACGTCTCAATTTAATTTGTTTTAATCAGTCGAAGTTGGGGCGAGATAAAGTTCGCCGGGTCCGCTAGTAGTAATATAATTCTATTTTAAATTGCTATAACTTTAATTTGCAAAAAGAATGGTAAAAAAGCGATACTATCGATAGTATCGAATTTTCGTATTCAAAACATCGAAAATATCGAATGGTGCCACTATCGATAGTTTCCCAACTCTATTAATGACCAGCGTGACCGAGCCGGACAGATGGAAATATGCCATTTATCCCTCAAAAATATACTAAAATATACTACTTCATATTTGAAAATATACCACTATACTACCCTCCTAGGGATGTGAGAAATGACTGTGCTATCAATGAATCGATATTTTCAGGAAAACTATCGCAACTTTTAGTTTGCGCAATACGTGAATATCAAATATAATTGGAGATATTTTACGAAATAAGTGAAAATAAACCAATATATTGCGCAATTTATTAATTTCGGATCTAATTGGAGATATTTTAAGAAATAATAACCATAGATAATCCAACATATCTTTCGCAACATATATATTCTTGATAAACATTAAAATAATAATAATAATAATAAAATAAAAACCAAATATTTTTTAATTTTTCTATATTTTATATTTTACAAGATATATATAATATTTAAAAGACTACCATCTCTAAGAACTCACAATACTTTTGCCAGTGTGACTGTTTTTTGCGATTGTAAAATAAATGAATGATAATATTTAACGTTAATGGTTTTTTTCTGGAGAACTACATCTAAAATATATATATAGAGAAAACGAACACGGTGTGAAGAGATTTTTGAAAATTTAGCCGGATATCAAACATTCCATTACTTATGTAAAGTAACTAGACAACCCTGCTGCCGACGCTGTCCTTTCCGGCCAATGGCAACCCTGATCCTGTTTGTGGCGGCATTTTGATCAGAATTTGCTATTATTTTTTGCAAGCCCAGCAGTCGTCCATAGAAAATGCCCCGTGTTGCCAAACCGAAGGTTGCTGCCGGCACAGCGCCGGCCAAGAAGGCGGCGCCCGCCAAGAAGGCCAAGAAGAACATGTACGACATGCCGGAGAAGGTGCCGGAGGGCACTGTCTTCACAGATTTGGCCAAGGGCCAGTGGCGCATCGGCCCTTCCATCGGCGTGGGCGGCTTCGGTGAGATCTACGCCGCCTGCAAAGTGGGGGAGAAGAACTATGACGCCGTTGTGAAATGCGTGAGTTGGAGTGAAAGGCGATCCGCTAGAGACTTGTGTTGAAAACCTTGATTTCAGGAGCCCCACGGCAATGGACCGCTTTTTGTGGAAATGCACTTCTACCTCCGCAACGCCAAGCTGGACGACATAAAGCAGTTTAAGCAGAAGAACGGCCTCAAGTCGCTGGGCATGCCCTACATCCTGGCCAACGGATCGGTGGAGGTGAATGGCCAGAAGCATCGATTTATTGTGATGCCCCGCTACGGCAGCGACATCTCAAAGTTCTTCGTGGCGAACGGAAAGCGCCTGCCCGAGGGCACAGTCTATCGACTGGCCATCCAGATGCTGGACGTCTATCAGTTCATGCACGGCACCGGCTATGTCCATGCCGATCTGAAGGCCGCCAACATTCTGCTGGGCCTGGGCAAAGGCGGAGGAGCACAGGCCTACCTGGTGGACTTCGGCCTGGCCTCCCACTATACGACGGGAGATTTCAAGCCGGATCCCAAGAAGATGCACAATGGCACGATTGAGTACACATCGCGAGACGCCCATCTGGGCGTGGCCACCAGAAGATCCGATCTAGAGATTCTCGGCTATAACCTTATCGCGTGGATGGGAGTCGAATTGCCCTGGGAGACGCAAAAACTCTTGGACGTTCCACAGAAGGTGCAAAAGGCCAAGGAGGCATTCATGGACGACATTGTCGGCAGTCTCAAGTCGCTCTTTCCCAGGGGAGTGCCGGCAGCCATAGAGGAGTTCATGAAGTACGTTACCAAAATGACGCACAACCAGGAGCCGGACTATGACAAGTGTCGCCTGATGTTCCAGAAGGCTCTCAAGCAGATCGGAGTACCGAACAGCGGAGATCTTGACTTCAAGATAAAGCCGCAGACCAGCAGCAACAATAATATTAGTCCTCCAGGTACTAGCAAGGCGGCACCAGCTGCCAGGAGAGCCAAAAAGGTAGAATCTCCCGTGGTAAACTCATCCATTGATGAAATAATCTCCGCCAGCGATGAAGAGGAGGAAGAGGAGAAACGCATTAAGAGGGCGGCCATGAAGGCTTCGCCCGCAGCTCGAAGAGCTGCCATGAAGGCTTCGCCCATTGCGCGAAAAGCTGTAATGAAGGCGTCTCCCGCAGCTCGAAAAGCCGCCATTAAGACTTCGCCCGAAGCTCGGGGTGCAGCCCCAGCGTTTCCCAAAAAGCGTGATGCCGCCAGTCCAACCAATCAAAAGCGGGTAAAGACTGATCCCGATTTGTCGCCCAAGCCAAGGGGGACTCCCAAGGCCAGCCCTAAGCCACAAACCCCCTCAGCAACAACCCAGCCTAAGACGCCAAAGCCTCACACTTCCGGAGCCAGCGCCAAGCTCAACTTTAGTCCAGCGATTTCTCTACGTGGTCGGCCTGGTGGAAAGACCGTGGTCAACGATGATCTAACTCCGAATCCACGCTCCAAAAAAACCTACGAGTTTAATTTTGAGCTGGACGTGAGCATGGACGCCAATGTCATAGTGAACGTCAAGCGCAAAAGAAAGGCCGCCAAGGATCAGGCGGCGGCTACTCCAGAATCTAGGACTCCTTCCGCACGCAGCATAGCCAGCTCGAAGGAGGAGGGCGGAACACCCGTCACCCGCGTTAATTTCCGCAAGGTAAACGGCCACGACGATAGCTCTTCATCTCCCGCCAAGAGCCCGCGCACACCGGTTGTCACCCTGCGCAAATACCAGCGTTAGGTTATTGTTTTTTGTATTGTTAAGCTGAAAAATTTGAATAAATAAAGTCGTATTATTTGTGAAATATTACACTTTTCTTTCATTTAATTGGTATTTTTAATTAAAGTTAACTAAATTTCAAGTTCTTAACAATTAACGTTCACTGCTTCGACCTGCGCTTGCTGCTGCTGCTTCCGCTTTCGTGGTGCTTGGAGGAGCTGCCCTTCGAGCTGGACTTGGCGCTAGAGCCGCTGCGCCGTGACGAGGATGTGCCACTGCTGCTGCTGTGCTTCTCCAGCCCCCCAATGGCACTCAGTGATGGTGCCCCCGAGGACTTGCTCGATCGCTCCTCCTTGTGCGACTTGGACGAGGACGAAGATGAGGACTTGTGACCGTGTTTGCTGCTGCTACTGCTACTGGCATTTGTGGAGCTGCTGGGCTCGGGCCTATAGAAGGGCGACGACGAGTTGGATGAGTTGGACGAGCGCGAGGAGGCCACCGAGGACTTGGCCTTGCTGCTACTCAGCGGCATGGGCTCGTCGGCTATGAAAACGGTGGGCGTCACTGTCGTCGCGGCGGAGGAGGCTGCTCGACTGCTGCTCGTGGGCTTGTTGCAGCACGTGTCGCACTGCCAGTTCTGCTCCTGGTCGTCGGCTGCCTCCTCCTTCGTAATGGGCGGCTTGTGGCACTCCTGGTGGTACATGGCGCCGCACTTGGAACACTCTATCAGCCGATTGGTGGCCGTGAATACCATCTCGCCGCACACGCAACAGTTGAGGTCGCCAAAGTCGCCAGTGTCACCCGTATTCACAATGCCCACGGCACTCAGGCCGTCATCCGAGTCGGCAATGGTGTCGACCGAATCGGAGGGCTCCTTGTCCGGCGAATTGGTCAGGTTAATGATCTCGTCCACATTGATGGGCTGCGGAGGCGTGGCCGCCCGGCCCGGGAAGTTGGCTTCGTCCTCAACCATGCGCTGGGTCATGTTGTTGGTCAGGCTCTTCTCCGGGCCGAAGCGCGTCTTCAGAGCCTCGTCGAAGAGCAGGCGCAGCTCGGCGGCGGACGTGGGATTGCTCGAGTGCAGCAGCTTGATGGCCTTCTTCAGCACAGGGTCCACTTCCTGGGCGGCGGCAGCCGCGGCAGCTATGTTGGCAGCCATCTAAAGGGAAGTCTAAGCCTAAAATATTAAAATCCTCAATAAAAGCGGCTCCAAGAGATGGAAGACCATCGATAACGATGGCCCTAGACGGCGGTCAGCTGTTGCTCTCCCCCGCTATCGATAGCACGGCAATCGGTTGTTCGGCGATTTGTTTTCTTTTTGGCCAGGTAATTAGCCGCAAAAACAGTAATAATATTAGTAATACTAGTGCAGTGATTATTGTTCACGGTCGGCGCCTGCCTGTCGTGCAACTACGCACCACGTTACAGTTGCCTCTGTGCCGCCCGCGGAGAGAAAGAGGCGGCCGTTGAAAAATCGAAGCGAGAGAGCCAATTGGAAAAGCAATAACAACCTGCAACAACGCACTTGGCTCTCTCTCAAAATAAACAGTCTTGATAAGGACAATAAAGTGCTTTGTGTGCGAAAAAAGTGCCAATCTTGAGAGGGAATTAGTAATACACAAACCCTGCCTTCGGACTCTTCGATCATTCTTTGTGCTTCTCCAGAATCTGCAGGTGACACAATGTGCAGCAGGGAAAAGGATACGCCGGCGACTGCAAGTCGCGGATACAAACACCAGGTGAGGTCATCCTTTCTTTATTTCCGTATTATATTTCTAGAAATTCCCTGATATTTGTTGTCTTTGCAGTGGCTGGCTTGCCTAGCTTTGTTGCTGTGCCTGAGCTGCCGCGGGAGCTATGCCGCTGACGCAGTTGATCAGCTGGTAAGTGGGCGGACGGTGGGCGGTGGGCGGTGGGCGGCATGGGGCCAGTGGGCGCTGGGCGGCTTGGAGGCGCCGCTTGTTTGTTTTCGTTTCGTGTTTGGCGCTGCGCACTTGTTGCCATTTTGGCCAAGACCCTGTTATTGGCGTTCCAAGTGCATGTTTACCACCCACCCACACACAGACGCACACATGCGGTTATCGGTTCCAGTCTTTGTTGGGCAAAATTTTGAAAAGACTAGAAATCAATCAGCCAAGTTAGGGGAGATAAGAACAACAAAGGTCTCAAGCTTTGACATATACAGGCCGTGTTATCCACAAAGAAACAGATTTTGTTTGGGTTGTTAAGGTTGGGATTTCATTATGGAAGTTTTATTACTTTATTTTAGAGAACTTTGATTATTTTTACGGTAGATAAAGATCAAAAATATATATTTCTATATATCCCTTTTCTCTTTGCTTTTCTCTAGAAATTTTCCACCCAGGAATGCAAACTTAAAGAACCCATATATGGCAGTACCTTTGACTTTAGTGGCCTCCACTCGGATCTGGGTCATGTGGTGGAGAGTCCCATAATTCCCGGCGATAAATTTGAGTTTAATATATGCGGAAATCTCTCGCGAACCTGCAATGGTGAGAGCAATGTGGCAGCCTGCCTCAAGAAACAGGGCAAGGAGTATATCCTAGGTGAGTTTGAAATACCCACAAATAGTCTTCGATTCCTTACCTCTGCTTATTTCGCTTAGGTCGCCAGCATGAGCTTTTCTACAGGAATGGCAAGATGTATCTGGAGTACAAGAGTGGCGTCAAGTGTGAGAATGGCACTGCCGAGAAACCAAACTACCAGCTTCATGTTATTCTCAGCTGCGACTACACCCTAGATGCCCAGCCCATGCATGTTACGTCCTATGTAAGGTCTTGGAGTACATAAAGTGACTTCACGAATAACATTCTCCCTTTAAACCTTCTCAGGCCGACGATACTTGCTCGTTCTACATTTTCTACGAGACCCCGCTGGCCTGCCTTCGCATACCCGATGCCCTGCAATCCAATAGTTGCAGCGTCCGGGACACCACGTCGAATGGAACCTTTGATTTGATGCCTCTGAGTGATAGTAACTATCGCACCAGCAATCGCCAGGACGCATTCTTTGTGATCAATGTCTGTAAGCCTGTTCTTTATGGCGAAAACAGCATGTGTCCTCCAGGCAGCAGCGTGTGTCTGTTCAATCCCAAAGCCACGGATATGAAGCAGCGGTGAGTTTTAATTGGTTGTATATTGAAATTGCTGATTATAAAGGGTTTCTCTTTATAGTTTCATCAATTTCGGAAATGTACAGTCGCGTCCGGTGGTCGAAAACGGGCAGCTTCTGCTTAGGCATGAGTCACCCACGCCCTGTGCCAAGAATGCCAGCGCCAACTATACCAGTGTGATTTACTTTAGCTGTGACAAGTTTATACGAGTGAGTAGTATTTGTTATTAATTAATTAATTAATTATTTTGCAATTAAATTGTTTGTTAGATATAAAAAACTCCTTAAAACTATCAATTTTTCATGTCTTATATCCCTATTTTACTTTCCAGAATGCCCATCCGGAGTACGCGGGCCTGGGAGCCGACTCCTGCACCTACCAGTTCAACTTTGTCACCCCTTTGGCCTGCAACGATCTCGAACCCTGTACGGCTTTCACCTCCACAAATGAGCTGTGAGTGCTACCCCTCGTTTAGCCTAATGATTCCACTCTAAGCCCACTTTCACTCTGCTCCTCCTCCTCTCAACACAGATTGGATCTCAGTCCGCTGAGCTCGAAGCCAGACCGCACTTTGATTAAGGATGGCCGAAACTATACAATTGCAGTGTGCGCCCATGCTGGGAGCCCCTGCCAGGAAAATGGCGGTAAGTCGGCCATTTGCGGCCTTGGATATTAATACTAGAAGTTTTTAAGTGCCGACGCGAAACTTATTCGCCGTAAAAGAGTCGTAATTAAAGGGAAGTCGTAACCAGGCAAAGCTTTAAACCCTTTTTTGAGCGGGATTAGTGATTTTTTATTGCTCTTCCGCTCGAGTGGCCCTCATGGCCATAATCGTCTTGGTAACCGGAGGCAAATGCAAAAAATGGGGATGGGCCCGGTCAAGTGTTGACCATTTCATCCGGTTTCCATTAAATCGCACACGAGTGGCTATTTGTAGGTCCCCTCAACGTATGTCCATAAATATGGACGCACATTCGGCTGTGTGTGTGTGTGGGCTAAAGCCGGGGTATGATGATAATGATTTAGATCTGTGATGTGGTCCGTCATATATTTACATAATTTACGAGTTTGCCTGTGTATATATGCAGGCTAGAGGTGGTCAGACCATTAGCCGGGCCTCTCCATCCGCCTCATCCATCCGCTCGCTCCACGTGAAAATTCAATTTAAATTTTTTTGACGCCAATAATAAGCAGAATGAACGTTTTTGACGGCTCTAAAATTCTCTATTTAAAATGGGTTTTAAACTTGATATTTATACGGACTAGAAAGTCAGAAGAGGAGCTTTAAAATATGTACTTTTTAAGTAGTTTTTAGTTATCGATTTATAAAGTTAATATTAAAATATTGCTTAAATTTGGGAGCTTAGGTTTTGGGGTTGTAAAAAGAGAGAAATGTATTATTATAAATATATTATATTATATATATTATAAATATTCTATAGTATTGAATAGTATTCACTAGTAACTATTATTTGGCTTAGATATACTCCTAATACTCCTCTCCCATAGACCCTTATTTCGCGTGCTTTCTCATGGCAAACATTCTGGTTTACCCTTCCAGTGCATAATCTTATGCTATATAGCATATAATGCCTGCACATCCGCAGCTTTGATATTTTTCCTATTTATTTGCTTTGTATGCGCTGCATCAACATCAACAAATGGGGGACACAGGGCTCTCTCGCTCGCCGTCGCAAATAACAACTTTTGGCGATGTGGGGGCTGTTGGCATGCGAAACGTGTCTGGTATCCATGGAGAGTTCAGCTCACGCAGCGCGACTCTTTGTGTGTCTATATATATGCTTTTTGGGGTGTCCTGCATTCGCAGTTGACTGCAGACGCATATCCGTTTGCGCGTCCTTTTCGGTTGGCTGGCTCCCTCCTTGCGCGCGTAGGAGATATCATGGCCCCACTGCTGGGCCTAAACAAATAAATAAGTGTGTGCTCCCTTTTGGCAAGCTGATGTCCAGGCCATGAGGCTGGGACCTACATGAAATTTTCATTTGTTAGGCAAATAGCAGACACACACACACACAGGAGCGCGGAATTGGGGCGTAGGACATGGCAGCGGGCTTTTGTAAACAAGCTGGCGCTCACATGCACACAGAGAAATAATTGCCTATAAAGGGGGTTAATGTGATGCTATATTAATTTAATAATTTTAGTATTAGAAAGATTATTTTCTTAAATTTAAAACAAGATAAGGTATTTATCTGAATTGCTTTAGTTTTTGTATCCAGATAGAATATATATAGGTCAAGAGATCGTACAGAGAGCAAGTCCTCTGATAACCCTTAATTCCTAAACTGGGAGTGAATGATGTATAAGTTTCAAGGATGTTTATAATTCCCAACCGTTTCAATTATAACTAAAAGTCCCTAGAGCTTTAATCAAATGAGTCTTGGCATGTTCAGGACCTTTGCCTAATCCCTAAGCTGTCCCTATTTCTCTCTCTGCATCCAAACAGCGCTGCTTGGTCGCTATTTGGCGCCCAGCTGACACTGGCAGACGGCATATTGCTGCCGCCCGCTCAATCCCTACCGCCATTCCACTACGCCCCCGTGGCAGGGCATTAAAATCTCCTGGTTTACATAGTTGAATTCAATATTTGAAGGCATTTGGCAGTGGCCTGGCCATGGCCCCTTTGGCCTGCAAGTGAGTTATGGCCGCGCCCCCTACTCGCCGCCTCCCACCCAAAACAGGTCCCATAAAATCCCGCCTCCCACTGCTGCCGTTAATTGCTTATGCAGCATGCGTTGCCCTGTCATTTTGTGTAATTTTCATTTGCGTTTTCGTTCTGCATTTTATATTTATTTATGGCGAGCCGTTGCAAATTGCATTTTTTTTTTGTTTTTTGGGTGGCAGCTGCGGGAATTTCAGCTATGTATATGATGATGCCAGGCTTCATTTAATTGCTGCTTGTCAACATAATTGTCTAAGCAAATTAAGTTCTTGTTTGCAGTTTATACAAAGCTTTAGAGAAATATTTTTGGCGTTTCGTTTTCAAGGAGACTTTATTAGAGGGTTTTGTTTTCTAAATTAAAATTAGTAATTACAGTGACATCTTATGGCATTACTGATGAAGTCTCTCACCTGATACCTGTATAAAATCGAGTTAAATTGTTGCTAAAGATAATTGCAAGTCTTGCCAAAAGGTTTGGAGAGTATCAAAACTCAAAACTCAAGCACTTTTGTGCTTGAGCTGCTGCTTTGTTTATAATTTTCATTTTCTTGTTTCAATGTTTTTTCGCATTTTACTCCTTTTTATGTGGGGCTCTGGTTTTCTCTTGTTTCCTTGCTTATTTGTGTTGGCGCTGCTGCCCGGCGGGCAGATTCAATTTGGCCAGGACTGGACAAAAACCAAACCCTCCTCTGCAGCCGTAACTAACACTTGCCGCCAGCTGTTTGGCCTGGATGCGCCATACAAGTGGCATTTGGGAGTCGGTAGAAGGGGCTACTGGAGCTACTAAATCGTTTTATATTTGTTTTTTCGTTCGCTCGTTTTTTATTTTGTTGTTGCTGCTGGCGGCTGATGGTCAATGTTTTTAGGGTTACTTGGCTCGGTCCTTTCTTGGCTGTTTTCTTATTGAAATTCAATTTTCCCGGGTCTCCCTCTCAGCCATTTACAGTCGCCGCTTTTTGCCCAGAAATATTTTGCGGCATACCGTGCTCCGTGCTCACTCGCCTTATCAATGCCACAAAGTCAGCTCCCTTATATTTAACCCTTCTCAGCAATAGGCGGAATTTAAACAATGTTTTGTTTCATGACCGCAATGCTGCGAGGCCGGAGGTTGCTTTGAGCCGAGATTGCATTGGGATTCAATTTACGGGGGTTGCGTGTTTCGGTGTGTTTGCGACCAGGTCAATCTCGTTGGATAATCTTGACAAGGAAATGATTTTCACCCAAGGTGTACAAGGACAAGAATATATCCTGTGTAAAGCACAACAGAGGACATAATAATAGCAGTAGAAAGAAAAATAAACAATTTTAAGAAAATTGCTATATTATATTTAATCACTCGGTTCCTCCCACAAAACCTCAAGAAAATTAACGTTATCTTTCGTAAAAAGCTCTCTCAAACTGCAAAAAAAACCTCTCTTGTTCGCTACAGCTTTTACATTGCAGGCAAGGCGTGAAAGAGAGACTGAGAGAGTCTCTTTAAATTCAGTTTTTTTTCAACTTTAAGTTGTAAACAAAATAACTCCCATATCTAAGTGATATTTAAGACTTTTTACTTTGACCGCAGCTGTACAAATAAATCCTTGGAGGATGTCTTCTGTTCTTCTGGGCTGATGGTCTGCTAAATTCAATTGCATGCTTCCACAGGACTCGGGCAGGACCTGTTTTGGCCCTACATGTTTACACTGGAATATACGGACCTACGTACATATATTGTCACGCAGCCCAGCCCCAGAATGCCATTTATCAATTTAGTTGACAGTCGATTTCTTTTTCGATTTGCCAAAAGCCACCTCAATTGGTCTTTTTCTCTTCGTTTCTCTGGGTACTTTTTTTTATTTCCTTGTTGTTGGTCATGGCTCTTGATCCTGCATGTGTGTGTATGTGGGTATTTGTCCAATGTCTGCAATATAGTATAAAAATGGTGAAGCAGGAGAGCGCAAGGGTGCAGAGGGGACTCTGAAATTACCATACTCTAGTCAAATCACAATCACAATGCTGTCTGCTCTAGGGCGCTCAATCAAAATCCGGCAAATGTGAGTGACGTTGCTCAAAATTGTTGGGGTTGCGAGTGAAAAGGGAAAGATTGAAATGCAGGGAGCCAGAAAGGACAAGTGCCGGGATTCGAGGATGGCGGAGATTCTGTTTATTTCCACAAAATTGAGTTGTCAGTTGTTGTCCGGCTTTAGTTCTCCAAACAATTTAATATTATTTTTAGGCAATTAAAGCTTAAATTCCTCGAGGCAGGACTCCGGAATCGATGTAAATTCACACTGCCATTTATGCTGTGTTCGAGTCCATTGTTATTGGAATGTCCTGGATAGACTAAAAGCATTCCAATTGCTTGGACACTCTCTTAGATCGGTGTGTGTGTGCGAAAAAAACGCCTCGCAAGTTGACAAACAACGAGAACAATTAATTTCGCCTTTGATGGCCTGTCGCTGCAGGAGCTTTGGCTCCTGCTGCTTCGAGTTGCCCCTATTCTTGCACTAAGAAAAATTTAAACTTATATCGTAAAAGCCACAGACTTTGTTATATTTTGATTATAGGGCTTTTGAATGCTTAAAAAATGTTTAAAGTAATCTAAGGATGTGTATCCTTTTAACCTAAGTTAGCAAATTAAACTTTTTTAATGGTGCTTTATAATAACTTGTATATTATATTTTTAAATATATTTCAAAATAATATATTTTTCCCAGTGTATTTGGAAATGGTTAAGGTTTTTCTGGCCAGGATTTGCCGGCCGTGCTCATGTTTTTTGTTTGCCTTTGAGATGGCCTTTGTTTTTCCTTCTGACTTTTTGGCGCTTGCCCGTGGAAGCCCTCCATTGATCCGTTCTCTCCGTGATTCCGTGCACTTGCAGGCGCCTGCTACGAACAGAATGCCACAACCATCAGCCTGGGCAACTTCAACTCGCAGCTGCGATTCAATCAGAGCGGCTCGCTCTATTTGCTCTACGAGGACGGTGCCGAGTGCCCCTCAGCGGCGGGTGGAACCAGGCGCTGGTCAACGAAAATCGAGTTTGTCTGTGCGAACAATGCCACCAAGGACAATGCGGCAGCTGGAGCTGGAACTGGAGGCGGCGATTCTTTGAAAATAATTGAGGACTCCAATTGCCAGCTGTTGATCCAATATCAGACGCCGCTTGCCTGCCGTGAGCCGATTAAGTGCAAGGCCACTATCTATGTGGACCACACGGCGGAGGGACTGGGGAGCAGCGGCGTCGAGCTGATCGATCTAACGCCATTGATTAGCGACAGCGACAACTACGAGGCTCGGGTGGAGCTGCCCGCCAGCATGGAGCACCTGGTGCCCAAAGCGACCAAGGTGAGTGGGAGAGCAGGAACACAGTCCGTTGATTTCCCTCCGGAACAGAGCAGCCCCTTAATTTGCTGGCTTTTGTCTTTGCTCTATTCAACCAACTCAAACCATCATCATCACTACTACCAATCCTACTATCTTCCTCCCATTTCCCCTTTTTTATTTCTTTGCAGTTCTTTTTGAATGTGTGCCGTCCATTAGTGCCCAAATACCAATTAGGCTGTGCCGGCGGATCTGCTGCCTGCATGGCCAAAGTGACGTCCGACGGCGCCCCCGAGGAGGAGCGTGTAAGTACCACCTCGTAATACATACATACATATTTTGGGGGTGCATAAATGTACAGAAGAGGTCAGAATAATAGTAAGGAGGAAAAATGATTATGATGGGATTTAAAAATGCGAAGAAATTATTTAAAAAGTTCAGAAGATTTTGTTTCATATATATTCATCAAAAAGCAGCTTAAAATTCTTTCTCGTATGCGATAGCTTGTACATTGCACGCAAAGCATGGAAGAGGGATAAACAAAGAGAAAGATATCTCACAAGTTCAAAAAGTAAACACCACAAAATAATATTTTATAACAGAGATTCCCTCAGGCCCTAGGGCTATTTTTTCGACCCCAACTGTGTGCATGCATGGTAGATGCGAGAGTGCCCACAAAAGGCCTCAAAGGGCGGCGGAAGAGTGTGCTGGCCACGTGAAAGAAAGCCGCTTATGTGCTTAAAACTCTTTGCATGCATGTGTATCCAATGAATGGAGCGGGAGCCCAGGGGATCGCTCGTAATTTACGCTAGCCCTCAGCCGGCCACACCATCTCGGTGCGCCTTTCCGTCCACCTCATAAACGCCTCAATATGGTCGTCGTCGTCATGGCCGTTTGGTCAAATGCCCAAAATTGTGGCGCCATTCATGCATTAAATATGCAGCAATCTAATTGCTAAGCTTCGCTCAACCTCAATTTTCCGACCCCTCGCTACGGCCAGCATCCGTAATTCCCCCGGGCCTGACCAGTGTGGATTATTTGCTTGCTTCATTAAGAGGCGCCTCCAACTGGGACTGGTCTCGGGGTTCACTTTCACATTGGGATGCGAGTGCGGATGCGGACACCCACTGTCTGCCGTTGACAGCGGCCAAAAGTTGTTTAATGCCAAAAATCTCCTCACTGAGCATGTGGCCACTGGCCGCCGTTCCGAGTCGAGTCCAGTCCAGTTCGGGGCCAAAACTCTGTCGGGTCGGTGCCTAAATACTTAAGCCCACAAAAGTATGCTATGAAATTTGCTTTAAACGAGATTTCTGCTCGGGCCACAAAATGGCAAAAAAAAACGCTTCCAAGCACCGACCGGGCCAAATCTTTTGCAAATGAATGAGATAATTGGTGGGGATTTGCTGGATTCAATAATTCATACATTTTTCCATTAGGCCAGACACACATGGACCTGCGAAAAAAAAGTAGGTCTAGTGCTGATTTACTGCGTGAAATATTCTTTAAATTATTGTTCGCCTAATGAAATGTGTTTAGAATTTATTATTAACACTAATCGGGGATTAAGTTTTACGGTTTTTTTAATTTTTGTAAATTAGGGCTTTAATTAAAATGGAATTAGGTGAAGAATGGGGAAATTGCAGCAAATTGAGGCTAATAAAGCATTATTACAAATATTATTTATATACAAAGTCTTAGTTTCAATTTTAAATTAATAGCTTGACTTGTACTGCATTTATGAAATTATTAATCACTCTTAAAAGGTTTTTATAGTCATTTATAATGGATTTGTTTTATAGTTGTTTTAATGTATAACTAAGATTATTTATCATTTCATAATGGCGATATTTTCTTGTAGTATTTAAATCTGTTTTTGTTCAAAATACTTTACCATCTATATTTTAAAAACCATATTTTCACACCCCATTCAATTTACCTTCGTGCTGCCCGTTTTTGTGTGTCCTTCGCGGCTTTTAGCTGCCTTTCTTTTCGGCTTAATGCCAGCTTGTTTTTAGACGAAAGTCGAATGAATTATTAGGTTTCCTCGCTAAGTTTCCGGGTGGGGCAAGCCCCCATTAAACCGCACTCCACCGCACTCGCCCCACTTCAATCAGCACAATAATTGCATGCGACAATGGATGCATGCCAAGGGGCGAGGGTTGGCGGGGGAGAGAAGGCAATCTTTCTAGCGCATTTTTCGTATTTTCCGGGGCCAAAAGGCCGCGCAACACACACACACACACACTCATCCATCCCCTCGCACTGGCACCTTCCGGCTTCAACTTTTATCACAAGCTGCACAAATTTCCCGGGAGCAAAAACATTGTTCAAGTTGCTAAAAAATAAGCACGTACGCGTTGGAAATGGCAATGCGCTGGAGTTCGTTGGAGGAACGAGCGGATGGAGGGCAGTTAAGTAGGGGTTCCCAGGCAGTGGTGCATTCAGGGGGGTTTTATGGGTTTTTGTTGAAGATATTTCAGATTTTTAATGACTTGCGAGAGCTACTGTATGAACTCTTTTTGCTAAAACTTTAAATCCTTGGAAGTCCTTAGCATTTTATAAAAATATTAAGATATATTGTTTACAAAAAGAACGATTTTAAATTGAATATTCTTTAAACAACCAAAAACAAACTACTTAAAAATAAAAAAACAGAAAACAATCCCTCTAAAATGCCCTTAGGTGCAGCCCCTGATCTAAATTGTGCTTGAAAAAATGCCGGGGAAAGGGGATTCCTGCGGCAAGGCAGCACGCGACTGAAATATGTGAGCATAACGTAAGGTCAGCCAACGTAACGTCGCGCTACGTAACGAAACGGAACGGAAGGAAATGCAAAATGCGGCTGGATGAGGTATGGGGGGCTGGCTGAGGGTAAAATATCTGTAAAAACAGCTTTTAGCGGCCAACAGCAGCATCCATGTGTGCCGCGTGTACGTGTAACGGCGTGAGAGTGTGTGTGTGAGGGGGTGTGCCTACCGGCGACGTGCTCTGTAAAGCATTTCCGCTGGCAGGAGGCGACTCTAGATGGCCCAAATGGGTGGTGCTGGTGGCGGTGGCGGTGATGGTAATGGTGGCTTAAAGTGCCATCGGCTTTGTTTGCATGCCGTTGGCCTAGAAATAACGCATTCGGAGCAAATATATATTTTTATAAAAATTCTATTGCTTTATTTTTGTAGTCGACTCTCGCTACAGACAGCCTCCGCTAACCATGAACTATGTGCACTGACAAAAACTATACCTAAAAGATATTCTAGATTTAATTTAAATAAACAAAATAAATACTTATTTATTTATCAACAAATGAAGTTACATTTAAGAAAGAAACCATAAAAAAAGCTATAATAATCTTAAGATCCTAGTAACTTGTTTTTTGTTGTTAAAATTCAATGAAAAATTCCATATATTAAGTGAAAACTTTTCAAACAAAAGGTTTCCTCGTTTAAAAGAGTTTCTCCAATATACATATTTCCATATTTCAAGTGTAGCCTTTGGTCCCTCCATTCCTGTTGACATTTTGCGCCACGTTTTGCATTTTGAAAATGCTTCGTTTTCAGAGCATTTCGTGTGCGGAAACGGAAATGTGCTGCTCGTTGCTGCTGACGCGCACTTGAGCGAACCCCCATGCTCCTCTCCATCCTAAACAAAAAGCAAAAAAATAAGGGAAAAACTCAACCCATACTGATGACATTGGGTGCCCCTCTGCCACGCCCGCTCATTGGCAGTTGTCGAACGTTGTCGCCTGCATTCGCAGTGGCATCTTGGCACTCCCAGCCCCCATCTCCATTGAATCCCCCGTTTCAGCCCCTTATCGCATGCACATATTTTAATGTGCTGCCATTGCATATCCCAAGGCTAACCAGCTACAATGGGAAGAAGCATTGCCTGAATCCTGCGGGAGAAGACATATTTAACCCACTAAGAAAGGGTGTCCTATATTCCTTGATATAGTAGAAGGGTAAATGTAGTTCCTTATGTGTATAGATTTATTTAAAGCTAAAGTTGTATATTCTAGATATTATTTAATTGCTTACACTTCTTTTAAATTTTAAATTAATAAATTCCATTTTGTTTTAAATATGCTGAGCAAAGATTTTATCTTAAATTATTCTTAAGTAAAACAAAGTGTGTATATTACATTAAAAATCATAAATCTCACACTTAAGCTAAAAAAGTATACCAAAAAAAGTTCCACAAGAAAATATCTTGAAAATCCCCAACTTATTAGTTGGTCCCTGGAGGGTTAAGCGATTGCCACTGCAGACATTTGTCGCCTCTGGCGCTTGACTCGAAGGAAGCCCTGCCGGATCAGCGACACGTTTGATTTTTGCTTGGGAATTCCCTTGCGATTTGCGATTGCGACTCCGATTGCGACAGCGAGTGCGAGTCAATTCATTGGCATGCAGCGACTCCATTGTCAACTCGATGGCGGCGTTTGACTTGTGCCAGTGCAAATTTGGCAACGGGCATATGACTAGCATGACAATGGCAACCCCATTACCCCGGCCAGCTCAAGCTTAAGCTCCATCTCCTGCTCCATCTCCTGCTCCTCCTTCTCCCCTTGCATTTGCATTTGCACTTCCGACGATAACCACAAAATCGTCAAAATGGCTGCCGTCGGGGGTCTGCGCCCCATCAAATCGGATTAATAATGAAATTGATCAAATTGTTGTGCAAACAGCTGAATGCCTTGCCAGCAGCTCCACAATGCCGGGCATAACTCGTCCCCAACTGTCCAGTCCCGTCCCTCTCCTGCTGCCTGCCTGCCTGCCTTTGTGCTTATTGTTATCCCAGTTATTGTCCTGTCCCTCAATGTCATGCCTGTTGTGGCCGCGTTGGCTTTCTCGTGGGTTGAGTGCCGAACGGGCCACAGGGCGGATGAGCAACGTAGGGGTAGGACGGGCGCCTTGTCCGCTGGCATGTTCCTGGTGAATCGCTGAACTAGCAGAAATCTTTATTGCTTCTCAACTCAAGCATGGCCTTGTTTCCTTTTTTTTGTATACAGTTTTCTACAAAAAAATATTCGATTTGGGCTAGAAATGTGTATGTGTATGGGGCATTAGGAATTTCAGGATATAAGTTATATTTAAATGAGGCAAATATGGGAAAGTTGAACTGGGTTTATGCTGATAACATTTAAATATTACAAGAAATAATATACTATATTCGCAGCTAAACCTGATAGCAATACAATTCCTTTAATCTCTCTTCAACATTTCTTTTTATTTCTATCTCAGACTTTTCTTTTTCAAAATGTATTTGTAAGAAAGGAAAACACATTCCTAACTCAACCCAAAGAAATGACTTAAGGTTAACGATACACCCCCTTCCTTTAGGGCTGGCCACTAATTAGAACGAGCAACCTAAATAAATGTCGTGTCCTGAAATCCTTTCGAGAATCCCAAACAGTTCTTTTAATCTCGCAGCAGCAGCGCATTAAAGTTTCGATTTGTTTCCCCTGGCCTGAGCCAAAAGATTTTCCAACAATCAAGTCAAGATTTTCTTCTTGTTTTCCTCAGCACCTTGTTGTTAGCTTGGCCTTGTCTTGCCCTGTCCTGGCCCGTGTCCTTTGTGCTTTCCTCTTTTCTTTTTTTTTTTTGTTCAACTCATTTATTTGTATCTGCAAACAATTAAGTTACTTTCGGTCTGGCCAGTGAGTCGTCGCTGGCATTTTCTTCTCTTTTTTTGTCCCTGGTATCCTGGAGAGGAAAGTTTTGCGAAACTTAAAAAAAATAATCACAAATATCCTGGCGCACGCACACTGGCACACATACACAGAGAAGTTACTGGCTTGTTCAAATGCGATAAGAAAGTTTTTCAATAAATTTTGCAAAGCGAGAGCTACTGGCGAAACTTAACTGTGCTGTGTGCCCTGTGCCTGCCTGCCTGTGTTCAAAGTCGGTAAGCCGGCGCCAAGGGGAGTCCCCCTGATCTGCCGTATACCCCCGGACTCCACCGAACCCCAAGGATCCTTCCCTCTCCATGCTAATGAGGCTGACGGATACTGAAGGTCAGGCGGCAGTCGTTGTGTATTTGCTGATGGCGCATTAGCTGCGATTTTGATTTTCAAATGGATTTTCAAAGGGGCAAGCAAGCGGTCCGATCCGCCAGTGAAACGTCCAGCAATAAATAATAGAGCAAACTGCTAAAACATCGCCTGAGCTGCATACGAAATGAGTTCGATTCGGAGTCGGAACTCGGTCTGGCCTGGACCTGGAAACTGGAGCACCCTCTGCCACTAATACGTTTAAGATGAGACGACAACATGTGCAACGCTTGCCGCCGCCATCGACCTTGTTGACCCGAGCATAAATCTTGTGCCACTCGAACGCCAATGCACTTGCCCCCAGCCCGGTGTATCCTTGCTCCCCTTTCTATCCTTTGGAATCGTTGGGTATTCCTGCTTTTTGCGCATTAAGCTCACGTCGTTGGTCGGCTAGTTGGATAGCTGGCAGCGTTTAAGCTGCCTGATTGCCAATATCAGCAGTTAGCGTGCTCCATCGATGGGGGGTCCAGCAACAGCTGCACAGGCGACAAGCAGGTCGAGTTTAAATATTAGCCTGTGTGACTTGAAAATCTGTTATTTATGGGATATATTACAAATTTATAGGTTTTTGTGCCTAGCGATTAAATATAGTTGGAGAATTAGGAATTAAGTCCCTAAAATTATACGACTTAACTTTTTCTACTTTTATGAGTTTCTGTTTTCAAAACAAACTTGTTATCTTTACATTTCCCCAAGAACTATCCTAATTTTTGTTGGGTGGGCGGTGCCATTGAACTATCCATTAAATTGTCGTTTGTGCTGACTCGGACCGGCATGTCCTGCTGGTGGATCTCTGGTCATGCCAGTTATCATCGCATCGATGTGCTGGCCACTCTGCTCGTTCCGAGCTGCTTGGCCTGGACACCGGCAACAAGGATAGCAACAAGCTAGAAGCAACCAGTAACCAGCAGCCAGGAGCAGGCGACACTGGAACGTGTGCTTGGCTCAGACAGGGATTTCGAGTTATTTGCCGCAATCTCAGACATAAAGTTATACATTTCGCTTTCGTCGAGCAGGCTTAAGGCGCCCCTTTCACCACTTTCACCCTCTTGTTTGTCTCGTTCACAGAGCATGGGATTTCCGCTGGTCTCGCTGTCGCAAAGGAATCGCACCTCCGCCGAGCTGCTGTACTTGAAGGGTGATCCCTGTCCGTGGGACAACAGCACGGAACTGTCCACGAAAATGCTTTTCAACTGCAACATGCGTGCGGGTCGGGTAAGTGCACTGGAAGAAATTAAAATAATAAAATACAGAAAATACGCACTGAGAATTAACACGCATACATAAAATTGCATGCTTGCTTGCAGATTAATATTGGGGAGAAATCATATATTTATTTACTTACTAAAATGCTTATTAAGTTTTGATTTTATTGGTAATTATTTGGCATTACACTAAACAGCATGTGCAGTTGGGCTTAAATTATTATTTCGTATGATTTCCCTATTTTTAAAAGTTTAATTTCACTTATAATTTGCAGTTTTTGGTTTTATTTCTTCTTAATTTAGGGTCAACCTGTTTTACGTTCGATTGAAGACTGTATCTACAATTTTGAATGGGAGACAAATATTATTTGCCAAAATTAAAGTTTATTTTTCAGAATTCGGTTCTATTTTCAAAATATTAATTAATATGTGTGAGTTTAACAACTTCTATATAGCTTTCATAATTTTCCTAATTTTGACAAGATTAAATACTTCAAGTGTATAAAAAAAACCCATACATCGGATTCTGATAGGCCATTTGTGCGGACAGCTTTGACTGGGTCACAGTCATGCGACTATTTCAAAGGACGACATCGCCGCTCACCTGCAAATTGCCTGCACGCTCCTAATGGCTGCTCTTCTTCACCTTCCTTTCCCTCCTCCATTTAGGGGCAACCAGTGCTGCGTTCGATCGATGACTGCACCTTCAGATTCGAGTGGGAGACGAATATCTTTTGCCCGCCGCACGAGTGCACCTTCAGTGCGGACACCTGCGAACTGGTGCACGATGAACTGGGCCATCGTTTCAACTTTAAGAGTGCCCCCTTCACCAACGAAGGCAAGATTCAGGTGAGTGTCGGCCCACAGAGGGATTAAGTTTCCCCTAACTGGGCTTTTTTCCGCCATCCCAGATCGACTACAAAGCCACGAAGATGTGGGTAAATATTTGCGGAGCTCGCCGCAAGGCAATGACGGACTATTCACAGTCGCTGGTCAACATATTCTTCACACACGAGTCGCCTAATTGCGGCAAGGAAGGTGAGTGTTGACGCTGCAGCTGCACTTGCAGGGCCGTCTAATTCGATTTACATATTCCGGCGGGGAGAGAGGGTACTGGATAAGGAGCTCGCGTTGTCGCTTGTCGCTTCCGTTTCTGGTTCCGGTTCCCTTTCCGCTGGCGCAACATGCTCGCCTTGTCGCCATTTTGTTTGCCTTTCTCTATCTGACTTTTTTCTAGTTTTTTTTCCCCTCCATTTTGTTTTTGGAGCGCTTTTGGGTGTTTTGTGGGAAAACGGGAGAATCGCATTAGATTTGGCGTACAGCCCAATGCACTTTCTTTGCCCGGTGACACTGCACCATCCTCGTTGCTTCATCCCCCCTGCGATCTTCGTGGCATTTTATCACGCCACTTTTATCGCTGGCACTCATGGTTTTAATGTCTGCGATTCGTTGGGGTATGATGGAGTCGAGGAAATATTGTGAATATGTTTTATATTTTATATTATTTTGTATACATGGTAAAATTTACAGAATGTAATGCAATGTACAAGCAAAAGCATCCATTTTAAAATACTCTCATACTGTTTACTGGGTATCTTGAGTTCGTTTCCTTCTTAGCAAGTGTTTTTCTTGACTTTTTTTTTTATTATACGCGACGCCATTCTTGCAACTGCGACATTTTCGGGCACTTGTCGTGGTGGCTCTTTTCGCCGGGTTTTTTTTTAGTAGTTTGCTTTTTAACTAAGATTCTTTTTGTCCGTCTGCGGGGGAAATAAAAAGTAAGCAAAGTGCTTGAAATTATACAAAAAAATATATCTAGCGAACGAGTAAAAAAAACTGTCTACGAGATAATGCGGTAAAATAATCTTGCTGCACTTGGGAAAATCTCTCTTTTTCTCTGGAGCTTTTCCTGTTTTTTCTGTTGATTTTCTTATTTTTATTCGTTGTTGAAAATACCAAAAGTCACAGTGATTAAAATCCCAAAAAGAAGGTCACACTTATCTAATTCCTTTTTGGCTTCCTTTCGTATGCTCATGCGTACCCGAATTTAATTGCTTAAAGATAACGAGAGCGTGCGGTTGTGAAAAATAAAGAAGTTTAATTAACTAAATCTATAATTAAAGTGTTTTTACTATTTGGCAAATCTGGCTGGCGGCTTCTTGGAGTTTGTATAAACTCTGTTTATATAAATCTCATAGGTTATGGGCCCAGTCACAATTTGCAGCTAAGTGCTATAGTGAAATGCTTTAATTGTTAAAGAATAATTTTTAACAAATAATAAAAGTGAAATAAAAAAAAAAGTGAACAACGTACATATAAATATAACGGCGCACCAAATTGGCGTACATTTTTCATTTTCAGTGCGAGTGTTAGAGCAGGATAGCAACACAAATTCTAAGAAGCGCAATTTTTCTCAGAAGATGGAAAAAGGAAAGAGAAACATAATACCTTTTAACGGGGAAAAGTATTCTATATGGAAGTTTAGAGTTAGGGCTTTATTAGAGGAAAACGAGTTGCTGAAAGTAATTGACGAGAAACCAAGTGATGAAGAAAGTGAGGAAGTGAAGCGAGCAGAGAGAAATGCAAAGAGTCTTATAATAGAATATTTGAGTGACTCTTTTTTAGTGTTTGCCAATAATGGGAACTCGGCTAAGGAGATTTTTGAGAATTTGGATAATATTTACGAGCGTAAAAGCCTGGCATCTCAACTTTCATTACGCAAACAATTACTGGCTTTAAAATTGAAGGGTGACTCTCCGCTAGTCAACCATTTTCGTTTATTTGATGATTTGGTTACTGAGTTAGTTGCAGCGGGAGCGAAAATAGATGAAATGGACAAAGTGTCTCATTTGCTGCTAACACTTCCAACTAACTATGATGGAGTAATAACAGCGATAGAAACTCTCTCTGAGCACAGTTTAACATTAGCATTCGTAAAGACTCGGCTTCTTGATCATGAAATTAAACTAAAAGGAGTTGGCAAGGACACAAGTGCAAAAGTGTTGCAGGCTATAGGCAATCGAGAGCCTAGGGATAGCACAAACAAAAACAAAAAATTAAAATTTGTGAAGAAACAATTTCCGAATAAGATAAAGCCTAAGCTGAAGTGTTTTCATTGTGGCAAATTAGGCCACATGAAGAAAGACTGTTTCTTCTTAAAAAGGCAGGCAGGAGGCAACCAGAATATTCATGCTCAGAGTAATGTTAGAGAGAGACAGGCCCAGATGGCAACAGCAACGCAGCCAGAACGCTCGTTTGCATTCATGACGAACCTAGCTGTTAGAGAGAGACAGACTCAGATGGCAGCAGCGCAGCCGGACTGTGCTTTTGCTTTTATGATGAAATTAGCTAATTCCAGTGAACAGACAGACGGCGTAGATTTTATATTAGATTCAGGGGCGTCAGATCACATAGTAAACGACATAACTTTATTTTCTGAGTATGAGAATATAAATCCGAGTGTAGCGATTGAGATTGCAAAGCGTGGAGAATTTGTGTATGCTACTGCGAAAGGACTAGTTAGTCTTAACAGTTCCGGGAAAAACATTACATTACAAAATGTGCTGTATTGCAAGGAAATCCCGCACAATTTACTATCCGTGAAAAAGATGCTAGATGCTGGAATGTCCGTCGAGTTTAATCCGGATGGTATAAAAGTAATCAAAGACGGTAACTTGGCATTTGAAGGGTATTGTAAGTATAATATACCGATTGTGAAATTTTATTTAAGTAGAAAAGTATATACATCCAAAAGTTTAAATGATGCAGAATATCGCTTGTGGCATGAAAGGTTAGGTCATATTAGTGTAGGAAAATTCTTAGAAATTAAACGAAATAGCTTGTTTGAAGATGTTGAACTTATTAAAAACGTACAGCTAAATAAAAATGAAATATGTGAGGCGTGTATTAACGGAAAGCAATCTAGGCTAAAATTTGAGAAATTTAAAAACAAAGAAAATATTGATCGCCCATTGTTCGTAGTTCATTCTGACGTTTGTGGTCCGATTACGCCCTCAACTATTGATAATAAAAACTACTATGTAGTATTTATTGATCAGTTCACACATTACTGCGTGACGTATTTAATAACTTATAAATCAGATGTGTTTTTTGTATTCAAAGACTTTGTGGCAAAAAGTGAGGCTCATTTCAACTTAAAAATGGTAAACCTATATATTGATAATGGCAGGGAATACCTCTCTAATGAAATGCGTGAGTTTTGTGTAGAAAAAGGTATCAGCTATCATTTAACGGTTCCTCATACCCCACAATTAAATGGTGTGGCAGAGCGGATGATTAGAACAATCACCGAAAAAGCTCGCTCTATGATTAACTGTACTAAACTTAATAAAAGTTTTTGGGGTGAAGCTGTTTTAACAGCAACTTATTTAGTTAATAGGTCCCCAAGTAGAGCGTTGGAAAATATAAGAAAAACACCATATGAGATGTGGCATAAAAAGAAGCCAATATTAAAGTATTTGAAAGTATTTGGATCGACTGTATACGCACTAAATAAAGTGCGTAAGCGAAAATTTGATGAGAAATCTATTAAGACTATACTTGTCGGGTATGAGCCAAATGGCTATAAATTGTGGAATGAGGAATCGAGGAAATTTATGATAGTTAGAGATGTAGTGGTGGACGAAAAAGGACAAAACTCTATGACTTTAAATGAAAATGACTCTGTGGTAAAACATAATGAAGTTAGCAGAAGTCATGATTCTCCAATTGAAGAGAATGAAGAGTTAGATTTTCCATCACAGGAAATGAATGAATCAATAGATTCTAAGTCTGGTGAAAACTTAAATGAAAATTCCACTTGTCTCGAGAATACCGATCCAGTAGTTGAAGCTGGTGATAATATACAAGAAAATGAAAATCAACAAGTCAGACGCAGTGAGAGAAATAAAGATAAACCAAAATTATCATATAGATTTTTAGAAAAATGTCTTATGAATACCCAAATATGTTTAAGTGAAATTCCCAATACTTATGAGGAAATTAAATTTCGAGATGACAAAGCCTTGTGGGAGGAAGCTATTCAAGATGAACTAAATTCGCATTTTGTAAATAAAACATGGTGCTTAGTGCAAAGGCCTATGGATAAAAACATAGTAGATTGCAAGTGGGTTTTTAGTTTAAAGCAAGACGAAAATGGTAACTTACTAAAACATAAGGCAAGACTGGTAGCGAGGGGCTTCACCCAAGAATATATGATGGATTATGATGAGACCTTTGCACCTGTTGCACGAATTTCTAGTTTCAGATTTCTTTTAGCATTTTCTAATCAATATAATTTGCTGATCCATCATATGGATGTGAAAACAGCATTTTTAAACGGAACTTTAAAGGATGAAATTTATATGAAGGTTCCAAAAGGTTTAAACCAGTATGATGGAAATAAAGTATGCAAACTAAATAAAGCTATTTATGGCCTTAAGCAAGCTGCAAGATGCTGGTTTGAGGTTTTTGAAAATGCACTTAAAAATTTTGGATTTCAGAATCTAGAAGTAGACCGATGTATATATATTTTAGATAAGGGAGATATAAGTAAAAATATATATTTACTATTATATGTTGACGATGTGGTAATTGCCACCAGTAATTCCGAAAGTATGTCTAAATTTAAAACTTATCTTTCAAGTACATTTCAAATGACTGACTTATGTGAAATACGACATTTCCTGGGTATAAAAATTGATCGAAAAGATAATCAAATTTGTCTCAGTCAATCTGCATATATTAAAAACGTTTTAAGGAAATTCAATATGCAAGATTGTAATCCAGTTAGTACCCCTCTTCCAAGCAAACTAAATTATGAGGATTTGCAAGCTGAAGAATCATGTGAAGCACCATGTAGGAATTTAATTGGCTGTTTAATGTACATAATGTTGTGTACACGGCCGGACTTGAGTACATCGATAAGTATCTTAAGTCGGTATACTAATAATAATAACAAAGAATTATGGCAATGTCTTAAACGAGTTCTAAGATATTTGAAAGGAACTGTTGACTTAAAGTTATCGTTTAAAAGGAATCCTAAAGTGGATAATATTCTTATAGGATATGTCGATTCTGATTGGGCGGGAAATGAGACTGATAGGAGAAGTACTACAGGATATATATTTAAAATGTTTGGAGATTGTTCAATTTCCTGGAATACTATGAAACAAAAATCAGTTGCTGCTTCATCTACTGAAGCCGAATATATGGCCTTATTTGAGGGTGTAAGAGAAGCATTATGGCTAAAGTCATTAATAAGTGAAATTAAATTAAAATTAAATGGCCCAATAGATATTTTTGAAGACAACCAAGGTTGTATTAGTATAGCCAACAACCCTACTTGCCACAAGAGAACTAAGCACATAGATATTAAATATCATTTTACCAGGGAACAAATTGAAAACAAACTAATCTGCGTCAAGTATATTTCCACAGATTTCCAATTGGCTGATATTTTAACGAAGCCACTACCAACAGCTAGATTCACTGCACTGCGAGACCAACTGGGGCTAATTGGACCTTTAGCCTGAACCTTTATATGGAGTTTCTTTTTAAACCAAGACAAACTGGATCTCTTGGCATATATATATATATATAATTAACCATAATCAAACCAAAATAATTCCTAGTCTAACCACTGCTGTTTATATATATAAGTGAATCATGTTAATTTATGTTTTTTGATTGATCTGATTGGGTTTTACTGGGTTTCCCCAATTCTTTGCAGCAAATGCTGGATCAGAAAAGAAAGAGACCCCAGAGAAAGAGAGAAAGAGAAAAAGAAAAGAAAAGAAACTACAACCATTTGAATATGCACTCACTCGTATAAAATTATGTTTTTGTTAATCCGTAATTTGTATCAGTGTAACTTTTGAGGTGGCGTGTTGAAAATACCAAAAGTCACAGTGATTAAAATCCCAAAAAGAAGGTCACACTTATCTAATTCCTTTTTGGCTTCCTTTCGTATGCTCATGCGTACCCGAATTTAATTGCTTAAAGATAACGAGAGCGTGCGGTTGTGAAAAATAAAGAAGTTTAATTAACTAAATCTATAATTAAAGTGTTTTTACTATTTGGCAAATCTGGCTGGCGGCTTCTTGGAGTTTGTATAAACTCTGTTTATATAAATCTCATATTCGTTTTTTTTTTTTTGTAGATGTGATACTGCTGCATGAATATTTAATGCATGCAGAGCAGACAGCCAGGACAGAGTGTGTGTGTGTGTGTGGGTGGGATGGGGTTTTCCGGCATCCTGTGCCGAGATTTCCCCCGGGCCGCTCCGTGTTAGCTGCCTTATATTCGCACAATGATTTTTATTCGAGCCATTGCATGGCACTTAAAACTTTGCCATTAAAAAACAAAACTTTTTATTTTGACAAATAAAACTGACGACGATTTAATTATGACACATCTCCATTGTCTCTCCGACTTGGCCATAAAATGGAATTATTTTAGAAACTCTGTGGCGCACAAACTGTGTTGCCATTGTTTTGGTTTGGGCCAACGACAGAGCGCAATCTGCAAGCGATCAGACAAATTTAATATGCCCAGTGACAGGCGTTAGCAGATACCAGAAATGTGTGGGTGGTCAGAGGAGAAGGAGGAGCAGAAGCAGGAGGCGTTAGAGGAACATTTGCCAAAAATCCCAACGAGTTGTAGATTTTGTGTGGCTTTGCGACCGAAGCTAGAGGCTTTGATTCCCCCACACCAGGCTGGAGATGTACGCATTTCATGCTGAGCATTTGACCGACAACAGTAGCGCCTGACCCTGCAGGAGGCCAGGACAACCGGGGAAGGGGGAATGGAAGGAAAGGCAGGAGCAGGAGCTGTTGGGAGCAGTGTTGTCGTCTGTGGTGATAATTATTTTTGGCTTTTATGCGATAACTTTGCGGTGTCCAGGCTCAATCCACTTTGCTCCAAACCCCTTGTGCTGTATCATTTCAAATTTTGATAAGGATACTCTACTGCTGCTCCTGTGTGTTTTTGTGTGTGTGTGTGTGGGGAAGCCAGCCTTTGTCTGGCCCATAAAAGTGGAAAGCCAGCTAGAGTCTGCTGCTGTTGCTACTGCTTTTTGTACGCTTTTATTAGGGTTAAGATTGTTTTGAATGTGGGTTCATTTGAACTAATTAAAGTGCTCTCGAAACTAATGCCCTATTACGTTTACGTTATATCCCTTGCAGGCACGATGAACGTCCAGATCCGCCTGATATGCAGCAACCAGACGGAGAGCAGCAGCATCATCTCCAACGTAAGTACCAAGGATACTTTATATATATATATGTATTTATTTGTAAGCAAGGAATCTCTTACCTGACGCTGCTTGTTCTTGGCTCCTTGGAGGATTACAAAGAGTGTAGCACGCCTTTCAGCGCCCTGCCAAATGCGCATCAAAGAAACACGGCAACTGTAGGGATATTTTGCGATGTTTTTCTTGTTTATATACCCTTGCAGATGGGAATTATAGCGGTTTAGTTGAGAGGGTGACACTTTCAATTCGGTTAAGTGGTATGGATTGGGATTATTTCTACCTTGGATTACGATTTTCTTTTATCTTGGAATATATATACTCGTTACTTAATTTAACCTAATTAAAAAGTTATTTAAGAGGGGTTTCCGCATCGATCGATATCGATATCGATATTTAATGCGTTGGCCTATATATAAATCGATCATTTAACTTCCATAAATCAAAATTCTGTTTGTTTAGAAAACAATTAAAATAAATGTATAAATATGTTTGTGTTCACACTGAAAATAATATCCTATCGTAAAAATATCGTGAAGTTAGATATATAAATTTTCAAAATTTTAAATAAAAAATATAAGTCAATACTTATTCTAATATTTTCATTATGATATCGCTCGATATATTTTTCAACAAAAAGAGTTTATCGATAGAAATCCCTACTCATAAATGGTAACTTAGGAGAAAGGCCCCTCAACAAGGCAGAATCTTTAGCTTTTATGGCTATTTTTTTTCAATTAATTACCCAAAAAGTACAAAAATTCCTATATAAACTTTAAGAGTATCTACAATTCGGTCTTCTTAAAAGACCCCTCCTTGTTTTATGTTTTTTATTCCCCCTTTTTAATTTTTGTAAGCGAACAAAAAGTCTTGACAGTCGCTTGGTCCGTTCTCAAAGACCCGCCACAAGGCACTGGGTCTACTCGGCTTTAAAGTAAGAATGTATGAAATATGTTTGCGGAAAAGGGCAACCAGGGACACGGAAAGGGACACGGAAAGGGACACGGAAAGGGACACGGAAAGGGACACGTTGAGGGACACGGAAAGGGACACGGACTAACTGGTGCAGGTGAGCTGCCACCTTGCAAGAAACGGTGGTTTTTGGGGGCGGCGACTTAGGCGGGTGGCTTGGGAGCCCGGAATGTGCGGCAGGTGTCCTTTGTTATGCTTACCACCTGGCAATCGGCTTTGCCTGTGCATCTTCCTGGCTTTCAGCCCTTTTTCTATGTCTTTGTCCTTTGTCTTTTCATATTTCTGTTTTTGCGGTTCGCTTTGCATTTCTTGCTTGCTCCTTGTCTATGGCGCTCACCTGCTTTCACCCGTTCACCTGTTCAGCTGCTCTTAGCTGCTGGTTGGAGCTTTTGTTTCCCCCGAGTTCATTCGTGTCGCATGCGGCTTTGTTGTCATCCGGGCACGCAGGATCAGCTGGCAAGATATATGCAGGCAGGCATTGTTCGCTGTGACCTCTTCTTGTATTGACCAGATGACCCTTGGCCTGTGACTTGGGAAGGAGGAAATTAAATTAAAAGCAGGTCCTTTATAGAGCGCCTGCTGTGTGTGTGTGTGTGTTTTTGTATGTTTGTGGGAGTAATAATATAATTAAGTTGCATTCGCCTGCAGCACTTTGACTAATGACCAGCCATCCGACTTTGTTGTGGCTTTTCCAGGAGCCCCAGCTCAGCATCATTAGCATGCAGGGCATGCCGGGGCACGGACCTGATGCCGGGCTGGGTTCTCTTTAAGCTAATTAATAATTGTTTGCTTTGCTTGCACGACAATTAACCGCAGGTTGCTGAAATATTTCCCCATTTTCACGAGCACAATGCATCGGAATTAGTGGCGCAGGTCCGATTGCATTAGCCGCCGCCCCGAAAAACGTTTTGCAATTAGTGCTTGAGGTCGACTCCCGCCGCCAACACCCCCTCCAAAAAGGACTCCATCAGGGCGCATTGTAGTCCATTACCCAAAAATTACACCGTAGGAAGCGGCGGCGATGATTGAAAACATTTGCCCCGCCCGCCTTTCTAGGTCGATAGTTTTATGTGTTACCCGGCCAGACAGGACGCCCAGGATTCGCCTGTATTTGGCTTCGATTTTGCATTTGTGGCACCAGGCAATTGACCCAAATTTAAACCAGCTGCCAGCTGTTTGGCACCTCCGACAAATGCTTCCAAAAGCCGCCATTGCCATCGCCAGGGGGGAGAGCCCATGTCACAGCTGCGGGCTGTGGCCTTTGTCACCCAATCACCCAGCCACATTTCGATTCACATTTGTAGCATGTCCCTGTCCCTAACCGATGGGATGGCTCTTTGCTATTGGCATGTGTATGCATCATCCAATGATGTTAATTGCTCCCTGGGATCTTTAATATTTGCACTTCCTTGTCCGAGCAGACAGCTAATACATCTGAGCAGCTCAACAGGTTAAGCCCAACAAGAAGTTGTGGTCATCTAGGAGGGAAAGCGGAAAAAAGAGTGCAAAACAGCTTATCGTTGAAAGAACCCCAACACGTTTTAATCCTTGAACTGCAGAGCGGAAAATAACAGTTTTCGCTGCACTTAAAAAAACGAGAAATTGCGAGAGGGAAAACGTTGAGTAATTTCAATTTAAAAAGTCCTTAAACAAGCGATAATTTGTGGATTCCCTTTTCCAAACTAAATTTATTTTCTTATGAAAGTTACTTTGTTAAATCAAATATTTACATAAAAACCTACAAATATTTTCTCCCCGTGTATATGTGTGCAATTATAGCATACTATATATACACAACGAAGGACAAGTTTTTGGATAGCAACAAAAAGGAGCTGTGTACACTGGCTCCTGGTACTCGTCCTGCCACTGGCAGAGTCGCTGTTGGAAAATTAGCGATTCAATGAAATGGGATTTTAAATGGCTGCAAACTTTTTAATGCGCTGCTCCCCCCCCACCAACACCTCCCTCACTACAAGCTACAGTTCCAGCTGCTCCCTCTGCTTCCCGCTTCCTGGCAACCTTGTTCTCCTCGCGGACATGTTCGTGTCTGGTGCGGCGCCTCGCCGTGACGGGAAAGTTTCAGCCAGCTTTGGGCTGGCGAGCGTTTTTGCCGGCTCCAGTTGCCAGTTGCAGTTGCGCCGCAAAAGTTTTTAAGTTATGCGCACATTTGCTGTTTCATTTTGCAGTCGCTGGTCGCGCCGGAAATGGTCTTTGGGTGAAAGTGTTGCCAGCGAACACAGAACGCAGAATACAGAGCACAGTAAGGGGTTTTTCCAGGCGACCCAGGATGCCGGAAACAAGCTGCGAGCAGTTGTTGCGCCACAAATTTGTGCAGGCCACTGGACGAGGGCAAGGATGCGGAACGAAGGAATGGGAAGTGTTAGGGCGTCGTATTTTACTCGGAATTTATGTCCGCCCTCGGTCCCCCATATCAATTTATTTATTTATTTTCCTTGCACTTAATGAAGAAAGTTTCTAATTACAAGAATCCGTTTCCTTGCAGGACCAGCAATGCAATTTGCTTTATGTTCAGCGGACGCCCAGCATCTGCCAGTTCCTGTCCCTCGGTGTGCCCCAGCAGGATGCCCAAGGCGGTGGCTCCAGTAGCTCCAGCTCAAGCTCAAGCTCGAGTTCCACCAGCACTAGCACCACTACGACAACGACAACGGCTTCACCAGCGGGTAAGCCAACTAAGGCAGCCACGTCGACAACTACAACGACAACAGCTGGCCCCGATCCGGCGGCTACTCCCATCAGGCCGACGGCCTCCGTGGGCAGTAAGTGCAGCTGGCCCGCTTTGATTGCACTGCCAGCCATCACTCATTCTCACCGTTTTTCGCTCTTTTTCGCAGCCATCCTGGCGGCCATTTTGTCGGTGACCTTCTGTGTGACGTGCCTGGGACTCTTTGCCTTTTCGCCGGCACGGAGGCAGCGAGTGCGTCGCTTCTTCCGGCGCAGCAACTCGGCGGTTCGCTACTCCCGGGTAAGTTTGCCACTCGGTGTTAGCAGCCAGGAGGAGTCGGAGCCAGGAGCAGTCAGGAGCTAACTATGTCCTGCTCCTCCATTTTCCATCCTTTAGGTGCAGTCCAACGAGGAGGCCAACCTGCTGCTGGAGCCCAATGGAGAGTTCACCGAGAGCGATGATGACATGCTGCTTTAGGGGGGCCAACATGAACCCAAGTCGTCGAAGGAGGAGGACACGTCTTGGCCATTAGTAGGGGGAAACACCAGGTGGTGGAACGGAGGTAGCTAGATAAAGACACGCAAGATCCCAAAGTGAGAAACACAGAACACCAAAGACATAACTGAAAACTGGAACTGATTGTGAGTTAAAAATAATTAAAACTAAAAAACCGTAGAAGGAAAGTAAGGATAAGGGATAAGGATGAGAACTGCTTAAGGATGTTGATATACAAAATTGTACAATATGCGTAGGCTACAACGACGACATACACAACCCAATTAACGGACCTATATATACATATATACACCCACACACTATATATTTTATATACCCTTCGTATGAAAAGGATTACCCCAGGCCTAACCCAAACCCCATAGCTATAGTCAAGTGCAATGTGCATTCACAAGAGAATTGCCAAGGACAATTGCTTGAATAGTATTATCGCTGGCAACTAAGATATATATATATATATATATATATATACTATATAGAGCGGCAGCTTGTTTCCTTCCATTAACAATGTGATTTCCTATTTCGTTTTTTGGCAATTTCAAGTCCATCTTGGGTGCCTTTTTTATTCCTTTTTGTAACAATTTGCAGTCTGTACTTACATTTTTATTTCTGTCTTGTTTGTTTTTAGGTAATTAAGTCCTGTCTTATTAAATGTACAACTTTAAATGTATACATATATATATAAATATTTAATAAAAATTAAAAAAAATAAATAAAAAATAGCTTTGTTTTTATATTTTTATGAAAGGTAAAAGTAAGCAAGAATAATATAGAAAACTTCCTTTCTTTTGAATACTTTTTCACTGTTCAAATAATCCCAAATATAAACCAAACTCTTTATAATTTTTAAAATATATTTTATTTTGCATTGTATGTATGTGTTTTCCATATACAATTCGAATTAATTTACTCATATGCATTACAGAGTAGATGAGTGTGTCTGCGTAAATTTGTAGGTACCTTAGGCATTACATATCAGAGACAATCTATAGCTTAGACGATATACACATACTTTAGCTTAATTACATTTACGTATCATAGACGATATTTATTTTGTTTTTATTTCTCATATGAATGAAGAGGCTAGCCTAATGGTTTGGTAGATGACGTGATAATGGTTTTCCGTTGAAATTGGATAATGTCTCGGGGTCCGGTATGTACTTATTTATATAGCGTCGCTTAAATGGGCGTGAGATTACAATTGATATTCGTGATAGGAAATCTGGTGCGTTACGTCTGTTTTTTTTTTTGGAAAGTACAGAAATTCTCATTCAGCGTATGTACAGAGAGGTGTGTGAGTGTGGGTAATAATAGTTACTTAGGACCTAAATATCTAGCATACATACATACATACAAAGAAGGCAATTTCTCATTTCGGTAGCATTTGTTGTCGTTATTTTTGTTCACAATTAGAAATTCTATACTACTATTTGGATACGTCGTATGTGTATTGCATGCGGCTCTTACTCGTAGTAGTTGTGGCTTCTAACAAATAATAAGTAGGTTTAGTTCGAAATAAAGCTCGCTTTGTTCTAAAGTTGGGCTGAGATTCCTCTCCGTTCAAAGGTAAAATATTATATTTAAATAAAAAAGGGGCAGGGTGAGCCTGGAGCTACTCTCAGTTTGTTTAGCGGCGGCAGCTTAAGATAATCCTAATGTACAAATAATCACTAATTAAATGAGATTTGCTGTCTTACGAGAGGGTCTAGGCTAGGCTTAAAAATAACACTTAACAGAGTGATGCCTCCTACTTGCACTTCACCCTCAAACTATTATTTCTTTTATAATTCTTTCTTTAACAAAGGCCACATGAAATATTGAAATTGGAAACTTCTATAAACTTTTCCCGAAGCGCAGGCTAGGAGTTTGGGGAGGGGGGAAGGAAAATCGATAATATTCTCTAGACTTTATACATTCAGCTGGGTGCTTCTCCGCCTCCGTTCGTGGCAGTGGGTTGCGGCTTCTTCTCGCCTCTCTAACGGAACAATAGCTCATCGTCGGGATCGAACTGGAAGAGCTCCGCCTTCTCCCAGTCCTATACGTCGCTCTGTTTCGCATTTGTGTTGATGATGAAGGCGCCGTTGATGTGGCCGTTGGCATGGTGCGCCTTGCCATTGGGCGTGTAGAGATTCGTCAGTCCATTCTTGCCGTTGGCAATCATCATGGCCGGGTGCGTGGTGCCTCCATTCAGCTGCGCCACCAGCGGGTTTTTGGTGGCCTCCGCCGGCGGCGTGGTCAGTGGCGGCGTCACTGGCGACGGCTTGATCAGCTCCAGCTTGTCATCGGTGGAGCCCTTCAGTGGCGACTTGATCAGTGCTCCGTTACCCACATTTCCCAGGGACTTGCGGTGAGGCAGGGCGAAGCGCAGCTTATCCCAGAACCAGGGATCGCCCCACTTCAGGTAGGTGTTCATCTTCAAGTAGGCCTTCAGCTCCTCATCCAGCTTCTCCACATCCCCAATGTCCGAGTAGATGATGACTATGATGCGGGCACGACCCTCGTTCAGCGCAGATCTGTGCGCTGCCCGGAACTCCATGCGTGCCCACTCCGACTTGATGAAGTTCTGGCTCAGCACGATAATGGTGCGCCGCGAATCCGCCACGGATCGCATGATATTCTCGGGTATGTGTCCGCCCACCAGCCAGTCGCGTTCATGCACACACAGCTGGAACTTCTGGGGACCATGCTCCAACTGCGGCACCAGGTAGTCCTCGATGAAGCTCTGGTCCTTGTGCGAGTACGAGATGAAGGCATCGAACTTCTTGTCCTTGTCCAGCTCCTCCTCGGTGACCAGCCACAGGAACATGTTGTGGGCATACAACCAGATCTTGATCTCCATCTGATACTTGTAGTACAGAGCAGCCGTGAATCCGGCTAGGAGGCCAGTCAAAGCGATTACCACGGCCAGGGCAATAAAGGCGCTACGATCATCTGGACAAATGTCGTTGGTAGACAGCTCCACCATTCGTGTGGGCGACTCTGCATTCATGCACATCATCTCATTGCGATCTTCAATCCTCTCAAAGTTATCCTGGGTGAACAGTAGCAGAGGCTTGGCATAACAGTCGCAGTTCCAAGGATTCCCAGCTAGCCTCAGCGAGCGATATGGCATGGTGCGGTTGAGGAAGCCCAGCACGGTGGCGTTCAGAGCCTGAAGTTGATTGCGACTCACATCCAGGTGATTCAGGTGCCGCGGCAGTTGATCCACCTCAATGCTGGTGAGATTATTGCCAGCCAGATGGAGACTGGTCACCTGGTCGTAGCCACGAGTGTCGAAGGAAGGCAGGCTAAGGAGTGTGTTGTTCTCCAGATACAGCTCCATGATGTCCAGGTTGTTGTGGAGATCTGGCAGTCTGGGCACCTCGGTCAGGTTCCCGCTGTTGCAGTTCACCAGCAAGGCCTTGTCGAAGGTTCGCACCCAGCAGCTGCAGCCGAGCGGGCACTTTCGCTCTCGCGGATCGTCGGAGATGTCCAGCGGACAGATGAGCTTCTCGGGCAGCACCTCACGCACAGGTGTGGCCTGCAGGGCACTGGGCTGGCTACAGGTCAGCCGATCTGTGCGTAACTTGAACTGTCTGGTATAAGCGGGCACACGTTCGCCCCTCACCAGCTGGACAAAGCGAAGCAAAACGCAATCGCAGACCAAAGGATTATCGTTGAGATCCACGTGCACCACCTTTGAGCCCATGTCCTCGCTCACCTCCAACTCCGTGGGCATTTGTATCCTCGTAATCTGATTGTGCGTAAAGTTCACATGCAATCGGTTCTTGGACAGAAACTGCAGATCCTCGTAAGAAAGCGAGCTAATGTTGTTGTAGCTCAGATCCAGGACTCGTAGCTGCGTCAACAGGAACTTCCAGTCTGAGTAGATGAACAGCACCGAGTTATTGCGCAGATTAAGGGTTTCCAGCTCGGTCAAAGGGCTGAAGGGGGAGTTGCCTGTGACCTCGAGGATGGCCTCCAATAGCGGCTGCTGCAGATTGATGTCGTTGTTCTCCAGGTGCAGGTGCCGCAATTCAGTGGCGCCTACAAAGGCATTGGGGTCGATGGTGCGAAGGCGATTCCAGCTCATAACCAGGGTCTCCAAGTGGCCCAGTCTGCTGAAGAGGTCGCTGTTTTTATAGAAAAAAAAAAAAAATAAATTAATTAATTATTTTAAATTTAAATGAAATAATATGGGGTATATATCTTAGAGTATTATTTACCTGCTAATCCCTGTCAGCAGATTATCCTCTAGATTTAAATCCGTCAGTTTGGTGGTGTGCTCAAACAGCTTGTCCGGCAGATGGGTCAACCTGTTGCTGCTCAGGTCTAGACTCAGGAGATTCACTTGATGCTCCAGCAGCCTGGCAGGCAGCGTGGTCAGCAGATTCTCCTTCAGCGAAATGTTAGTGATCCCCGTCGAGTGCTCAAAGAGATCGCCTGGCAGTGTCTCCAGTTCGGATCGCAGCAATATAACCTTCAGCTCCTGATGGTTGGCAAACAGCCGCGATGGCAGGGTGGTGAGTGGCACGCGGTTGTTGAGGATTCGCACCTGTTGCAGGTGGGGGTTGTGCTCAAAAAGTCCCTCTGGCAGGGAGCGGAAGTGGTTAGCACTCAGATTAATCTCCGTCAGATTCGTGAGCAGGGCAAACACATCATGAGGCAGCTGCTCGATTCCATTGGCATGGATATCAATATCCAGCACCGAGGTGGCACCTTCAAAGTCGTGTTTGGTCAGGTTGTGCAGCTGGTTGTTCCACAGATTCAGGTGCTTCAGCTTGGGCATTTTGCTAAAGATTCCAGGCGGCAGTCGTTTGAGCCGATTGCTGGCAAACTCAATGGACTCCAGGTTCTCCAGGTTGTCAAACAGATGCGGCGGCATCTCGGCAATGTTGGCCATCAGCTCCAGGGCACTGAGGTTGCGCAGATCGCTGAGCAGGTTGCCGGGTATATGCGTGGGACGGCGCGAAGTGAACCTCAGACGTTTCAAATTGTGCAGACGTTCCAGGTGCTGCCGCGTGATATTCATGCCCAGGTTGTCGCTCTCAAAGATCAGCATCTTGGGCGTGGGAATGCCCAGAAAGTCTAGGATCCCAGCAATGGGCGTGTGTCCTGGCAGCAGGCATCTCTGCATGGTGACCATATCAATCTCACCGATTCTCACGTTCGGCAACTGCTGGTAGTCCGAGGTGTCCGTGAGGTTGCACACGATCGAGACAATGTTTCGGCTGGGTTGGATATTGAGCCGGAACTTTGGGTTCTCCTCGTTGGCTGGGCAGTGGATCTCGTACTCTGACATAATGGGTGCACACTGGCAGGCCGTGCTCACGCTGAGTTCGTTGCATTCATCGCGGCCAAAGGACGCCTCTGCGACTGGCCAATGGACCAGTTGGAGAAGCACCACCAGCAGGAGCAGCGACAGCTCTGTAGCTGCTTTTGGTCGCCGCATGATGGATGAATTGTGTGTGGTTTTTGAGCTTCCTTTTTATTTTGTAGGACTAAAAGTAAACAAGAGAATTTAAAATTAATTAGAAATTTATATTTTAAATTTAAATAATTAGTAATTATAGCCTTATTTAAACCGAGTTTAGCCCTTAAAAATGTTTTTCTAGCTCTAGTTCTTCCCCCGTTACTTTCTGTAATTAATAAAAGTTTAATTTGAGAAATAGTTGACACCAGACATTTGTCATTATCATAATGACAAGCCAAAGGCACACAAAATGTTCGAAATATAAATGAAAAGGCAGCGACTTTGTGGGCGGAGTGGCAACTTTGGTGTAATTATATGGAAAAGTGAAATAAAACTGAATACAAACATTTGCCATTCCTTAATGGAATAACCGTGGAAAATGCGCTCATTACGGCTCGCTGGCACAGAGTGTGCTGTGTGTGCGTGAAGTAAAGTCTTTTGAATGCGGCTTAATCAGGGACAGTTAATTAAGCGCCAGTCAAAATTTTTGACAGCCTGGCAAAAATATTTCATTAGCAGCACACACACGCATACATCACCGAAAAGTGAATTCAATTTAAATGTGCGGACGCTGCCGGGCGGAAAATCCCGACTCCTGGGCAAGGACACGCTCGCGTACACAAAGCAACACCTACTCGGGTAAAAATATGGCACGAACAGCGGACACACACACACATCCTTTGCTCGCTCGCTTCCTGGGCCATGTTGCATTTCATGGTTGGCTCACCTCGAAACCACGCCCAGCTTCTGTTCCTCCGTAATCCCCGCCAGAGTCCGTCCGCCCGCCTGCCCGTCCGTTCGTCTGTGTGGTGTAATTACGGTCAGGGAGTGTATAAAATTTTGTAAAACGCTCTTGCTCTTGTGCTCCAGCTTGTGCTCGTGCTTCTTGGTCCTTTTCCACTTCCTGTTGCTCCGTGTGGTAAGTGGACATCGGGGCACTTTACGGTCTTTGTGCATTTAATGAATTTGTCATGCGCTCGAGTGCTGCATAATACGAGATTTTCGTTGAAGCCTCTCGTCAAGTCCTTGCTCACAATCTCCGTTCCCCATTGAAGTCGTCCTGTCCTCTCCACTCAATCCTGATGGTGACAATTTAATTGTGCCCATTACCGAACAATTTGAAGGGAATTCAATTAAAAGTTTCGGCCTCCTAGCTGTCGCCTGTCGTCGTCATCGTCGTATTTTCTCTAAAAAAGGCAACTTTAGGCCAGATTGCATTTGTCGCCTCCCTCCTACTCCTCCTCCTTCAAGGACTTGTGTAAAAGAAAAAGGCAGATGGACGCTTTTGAATGAAATTTTGATAAGGCAATTTAATTATGCGCGCCATAATTTGATTTTCAAATTGGTGACTTTTCCTCATTAATTAGGACAACTGCCGGACACAATGATGAAATTTCGCCGAGCTTGCCTCGGGCTGTGAAAATTTTGTTATTGATTTTCCTGCTCCACCTCCCTCGGTTCGGTCAGCAAAATGTTTAGTAAAATGCCTGTTCAACCATAAAATCTGCATCTGCTGGACGCAGTTTAAATATTTTCTTGTTTTGTAAACAAAAAGAATTTCAAATTGAATTTCAGCACATTGATTAGACAGATTATTTGTTCAAGAAAGTGTTTTGCTATCGAAATATTGTCGAACGCTTATGCTGATAGTTATTGCAAATCGAAAGCAATGTGTTGGCTAAATGTTTGCCTGGCCACATCAGATATCGAGTTGGGTTGCCTTTAAGCTATTAGATGGCAGGATAGACACGCCGCTGCCGCCTCGGGCTCGGATTCATAGCCGAACTCAACACCTTGTTTTCGTAGACCAGGATTCGTGCCAGGCTTATGCAAGGCAAGTAAGTTTTTCCCTCTACACTCTGGCAGCTAATGGTGATGCTCGTGCTCCTGCTCTGGCTCCTACTCTGGCTCCTACTCCTGCTCCTTTCTTGCTATTTGTGTAGCCGACTTCAATTTCGCATAAAACTTTAAGCACTTTTCACCCAATGAGTTCGGCCCTCCCCCTTAGAAACTACCTTCTCTTACAAAACCTGCTGTGTTTTGCCTTTTAAATTTCTTAGCCAAGCCAAGTGAAGTGAGAGCCAGTCAGGTACATGAAGAAAAAATCTGTTTACTAACTTATTATATCTTAGATTTTATATCCCTTTTAATCACATAAATCAATAAGCTTATTATAAGTTTTTATCCATCACAAAAAACAGTTTAAATAAAAAGTTAAACCCCTAAAATCCAGCTTATAATTTCTTCCTGTGCTGGATGTAAAGCTCGCCAAGCTGGCTATTGTTGTTGCTGCTGGCGCTCTGCCTTAGCTGCTTTTCTTGCCAAGATTTTAAACATTTATATTCACTTAGGAAAATTACTTTTCGCCTTTATGCCACGCTGGCCGTGTAAATATCCAGCAACGAGCTGGAACCTGGCTCGTTCAATCCGCAGCATTGATATCCCGAGCGCGTTTTGTTTATGCAACCTAATCTTGGAGGTTCGTTCCCCCTTTGTTTGTTTGTTGACATCTTGCCTCGAGCAGAACGGGTCCCTGGCCAGGACCAGGACGCAATCAGGCTTGAAGTGTTGCCAGTTGCCAGGCCCCCACTAACCTAGCTTTACGCCTTACTCTCGGAGGGGCCCTGGCAATTAATTGAATCCTGCCCTGGCACCCAATTTAATCCCGCCAAGGCAATTAAAAATAATTGCTCATTTTACACACACATGCTGGGAAATTATGAACACACACACACAGCAGGATGTGTGGTGTGTGTGTTCCGCTCGATTTAAAATTTTGTCTTGTTTAATTAGACGCTGTGTGTCGTTAATAAAGGTTAACGAAGTTTTACCAACGCGCAGATTTTTCACACATTTTCACAGGTCTCCCGTACGAGTCCTGGGGAAACCCCCAATACCCGCACGTAGTACCTGAAGCACACACAGAGATTCACAGACATTCCAGTTGAGTGCGCATTTTTGCACTCACATGCTCGCTTCCGGTATGTAACGGTACTAAATTCATTAGGCACACTAAATTACAACCGCAGGCACGGCAGGCATGATGAGGTTGCGGCGCAACTCGAGGAGCAGCAGGAGCTCGCTTTCACCTTGGATTTTTATTGCTCACCCAAGGAGTACACACATTGTAAGCCTTCCCTTTCGAAAAGGAACTGCAGAAATCCAAGAAACCCACGGAGTCAGGGAGGCACTCGTGTTGGTTTGTGTCTGATGTTTAATAGTCGTCGCACCGCCCGCAGCGTGCTCGTGGAAAATTGGCTTTCAGGATGCCTGCCTGCCGCAGAGCATTTTATTATTGTCGAGCAGCCAGAGCAGCGCTTCGTAGGAGCCATTAAATGGTTAAGTTTTCTTAATACTCAGCCGGTGGGGATTACGGGCAATGCCAAAGCGTTTAAATGGCGTTGACATATTGTGTGCGCCCTTTAAATGAATTTTTCAATTCCCCAATTTTCATGTGCAGAAGCGATTGCCATGCCAACTGAAATTGGCAAGAGCCAGAGCTCCCCGCTCGCATTCATCAATCAACATGACTAATTACTACAATTCCTGCCAAGCGGCTAGAACTGGCTCTCCAGCTCCAGCTTCTGCTCCTGCTGCTGCTCCTGGTCCCACTCGGCTGCCAAGAAGAGCGGCAAAAAAAGCTAAACAAGTTGTTTAACAATTTCTTATTAAAAACTTACAAATGCTCGAGAAAAGTTCTTACACGCATGTGAAGTACAGTCAGCAAGTGAGGGGGCTTTTCTTTGCCCATTTTCCAGCTCCTAGGAAACGGCAAGTCTGGCCAAGTGCGGTTTTTGTATCCCAGCACTGCACTGGCAATGTTTCATTTTCCTCTCCCCCACCAAGTTACATGTGTGTGTGTGTGTGTGTTTGGGTTGTGTTTGCCAAAGGATTTCAATTCCCCCAAAAACTTTTGCAAGTCTTTTGGCCCCATGTTTCTGGTTTTACAGGCATCGCCTCCAACACTTTGGTGAGCGGCAGCCAAGACATGTTTATATAGCCAGCCAGATGGGCCAATGTATTGCCGAACCGGAGCTTTAAGTAAACATCTGTGTTCGCCATCTCAGGGAGCGTCAAGCATCCAAGCAACCAGCAAACGCCACTCGCAAGATGTGCTTTGGGGGAGGGGCAGGCAAGCAGGCAGCATGTGAAGAGTCTCTAAGCGGGTCTTAATATCGCAAAATTGGAAACTGTTCAATATGTGTGATTGGCAATGTGGCAGCGTCTGTCTGCCACAAACACAACAGCTGCAACATACTTGTACTGCGAGTTCACATAGGAAAAGGATCTTGTTTACATTTATATTTTTTCTTAATAATAAAGCAATTTACTTGTTATTAGGGGTTGTTTATTGTAAAAAGTAGACTTTACGATGATTAAATAATAATAAGCTTATTAATTAATTTGTATAACTATTTATAGCTGGAGTATTCAATTTTATGTTATACCTAATTCTTTAAAGGACTTTACATTAAAAAAGAAAATCTTTATATTAATGTAAAACATCTCTCTGGGGTGCCTGCTGCACCCAGGCTAATTACGCACAAACGTCGCGTCGCAAGGTTAAGACTTCCCTCGGATGAATACATTAAATCCGCCTTCATTATTTATGGCTCACACTTTCTGCAGAATTTTTTTTTTGCATCAAAATGCCAAGGAGGAAAGGAGCAAGCAAAAGTACTCGAGCCGCTGTGAATTGAAAATATCTCGAAGCTGCTTTCGCAGTAACGCCTTGGCCTAAGTGCAAACCGCCGACGGGCTTGGCGAGACGCTCAAGTGCACAATCTGGAGGCAGGAGATGGCGGAGTGTCAGGGAATGCTCCCATTTAAATGCAAAATTTTCTATTAGTAAACGCATCAGCAGGGCTCAAGCTCAACTTCTAGCAGCAGGCGAACAAAAAGCAACTTCAAAGTCAGCGACAAATCCATAAGATACTCGCTCACTCATTACTCTTGGCAGCCTGCACAGCTCACTGAAAGTTCAACTTACAGCAGATGAAAGAAAAAGGGGTTAAGACCTGATTTGCG